GAAATAAATCTCCAGGCTAATAAAAGGGAAATATGAATCCTTTGTGTTTACTCTTAACGTCAAAATACTTCAATTTTTTAATCAACTTTGTTTATTAATGTTCATACAGATAAACAGATTAATTTTCTTTAGCATTCTGCTTTGAAGGCCTAGGATGGTTTCCTGCAGCCATTTTTCACCTCAGACAAAACTCTGCTTGGGGATCATATAGCCATTCTGATGGTGCCATAGCCATAATGAAACAAATTAATCCCTGATGTAACTCTGTTATAGGGAAATCAGTGGGTTTACACTAGGAATGAATTAGGCTCATGATGGCAAGTTTCAAGCGGTTGTTAAATTTCATTGTGAAGGTGCAGAGGGCTGTGGGCATTCCAGTTGCTTCTGGAAAACCATTCCATAGTCATTTTTGTGGTGGCACAGCTCCTTTCCTCGCTCATCACTAGTGGATAATGCCTCCCACCTGTGGAATTCAGCGGCAATCCAGTGTTGTTGTTGGGGGCTCTGAGACTAGGCTTTGTCTTTTAGCTCAGTCCACTGAATTTTTCTGCCTCCAGGAGTGGAACAAGATGTCAGTTCAGTTTCTTCAGACCATTTGTTTTATAACTTTAATTCTTATTTGTTTTCATGCAGTACTGACTTCATTTAAGCTTCAAGCACCTCTTCCCCTCTCCTGAGGTGAGGAATCAATGGACTACTGAGGTTTTACTCTTCTGTCTTCTCCAGTACAGCACTTCTCAAGTGGGCTGTGTCTGCTTCCCACTGCAGAAGCAGAGAAGCCCTGCAAGCATTGAGCCAAGTCCAAGAGGCAGCTTTCTGGGAGCTTCAGAGAACAAACTGTGCCCTGCTGCCTCCCCAAGCCGTCAAACCTTACTATGATGTGATATGGGCTTGAGAGAGCGAGCTATGCCCTGATGCCACAAGCCATCAACCCTCACATTGCCAGGGCACAGGCTGGAGAGAGTGATCTATGCCTGGCTACCACAAGCTATTGGCCTTCTCACTACCAGGGGGTCGGCTTTGAGTCAGGCAGGCATGTGAGGCCTCAACCCCTGCCAGAAGCCATGATTCCACCATGAGAAGCTCAACCAGGAGTGTGAGGATTCCCACAGAGAGGGGAACCCCCCTCACAACCGTCTCAGGGGAAAGTCTTGCAAACTTCAGAGAGTTTGGGACTGAAAAAAGCAAAATCAAGTGCCCCCTTTGTAAGGCAGCAACTTGTACTATTCACTTCTACAGATCTAACTGTGCATATCTGAACAAAAACAGAGACATGGCCACATGGGTTCGGACCAGTGGGTCCATCGAGTCCATTGTCATGTTTATGACAGTACCAGTACAAGTTACTTCAGAAGAAGGTAGAAGAAACCATGTAGAGAGCAGTCATGGTGCTCACAGGAGAAGTCTCCTCCTACCTCCCATCAGAGGCTGGCTTATTGCTGAAGCAGGAGTGTCTATATCCTTCCAAAACTAGGGAATAAACAGAGGTCACAGCTTCTCCTCAGCAGTGGAAATAATGTCCTGGGAAGGGGAAGAGAGAGCTGAAATCCTTCTCCTACTCCTCCAGTGGCCCAGAAGGCACTTCAGACTTAATAGACAACCAACGAACCTCCATTGCACCTGCAGAGAACACCAGACCACTTAAAGCAGGGACTCCTTCATACAGACCTGATGACCTACATTAACAGCCGGTTAATGGAAGAGAAGTGTGGTTTAACAGAGTTTTTCAGTTGGCCTCATCAGTACTTCTTTGATATGCAGGCAGAACTCAACCCAGAAATTTCAGTTACTGATCTGGTCAAATTTATATTTCTGGTGCAAGGGGAAACAGCAAACACTTTGTACAAACAAACTGCCTCTTGTTTGTACAGTGCCCTACGCAATGGGGCCTTGGCCTCCCAATAAATAATATAAAGAATATAATAGCAACCACCACAGTTCTGGTGATCTTAGCTACTCTAGAGTTTCTACTCTAGGATGGCTGATTGGAATCCTATAACCAAACACCACAGAAAAGTGCGTAACAGCCCTAGTGGTAGTCTTTAGGCAGAGATCTCTCTCTCTCCTCATCTGATGATCATCAGGTGTCAAGATTAATTAGAGTGACAGATTAAACCTGTGGCTGGCCTTTCTAGTTACCACTGCCTCAAAAAGACCGGGTTTGGAATTAGTTCCTCTATCCATACAAGAACCACACTGCTGTTTACTCTTGAGGGAATTCTGTGCCAAAAATACTAAAAATTCTGCTCCAAAAAACTAAAAATTTTGTGCACTGTTTAAAAATTCTGCAAAATTCTGAAAATTTTATTTGTCAATAAATAAATGTGGAGGCTCCAGCATAGCAGTGGGGCGCACAGGCCACTAGCTGCATGGAGGTGGGAGATCACCGTGTAGCCCCCCATCCCTACGGAACAGAGACATGGCAGCGAGGCTGCACCAAACCCTGACTCAGTGCAAGGGCAAGATCTGCCCCAGAAACACACTGGGGCCCTGCCTCTCTGTGCTAGGCACACCAGGTGTGGGCAGGCAGACTCAGGCCAGCTGGATCCAAGTGTAGAGGGGCTTAGTGTGGGGGGGATCCATGTGTGGGGCTAGAGGTTCTGTGTGGGTCAGTCTTGTGCAGGCAGCTCAGTGGGGGATGTGGATGCACAGAGGCTCATGGTGGGGTTCTGGGTGCAGGACAATGGGACTCTGCAGAGGGGTCCAGGTGAAGGTGGTTGAGGCTCAGCAGGGGCATCGAGGTGTGGGGGCTCAGTAGTGGGATTCAGGTACAGGGGAGGTAGGGGCCAGTTGCAGCTGGTTTGCGCTCAATGGGGTGGGTATCCGGAGGGCTCATGGGATGGTATAGGTGCAGGAAAGTTGGGCTCCGAAGGATGGGGGGGTCTATGGGCCTATTTAATGGGGGAGCCCTAGCTGCAGCTGCTGCCAAGGGGATGTCGCATGCTGGGCTCCTGTTCACCTCCCCCTTCAAATCCTCTTTCCTCTTTTCTTCCCCATCCCATCCCTCTTCCCCACTGTCCCCTGCCCATCCCCTCCCCAATCCCATCCCCTTCCTTCACCACTGCCTCTTTTTTCTCAGCCCCATCCTATCCCCATTGCCCTGCCCCACCACGGGGACTCACTGTTGTACAGAAAACAGGATGGCTCCCTTCACATAGAAGGGGAGCACGACAGGCACTGGAATCCAGGAGGCGGCGTCCAGCTGCAAAGTCAGCGGAGCCAAGTGGCACCCTCTTTCAGTCGGGCAGCTCTGCGTGTGTGCCCCTGCCATGCCTCACTTCTGTTGGGGGGCAGTGTCCCCCCAAACTACATCCATGCACATCTCCAGGCTCCCACCCCAACCTCATGTAGCTTCCCTTTGCTGCCCCGTCACTTTCTGCAGGGAAGCAAAGAAATCTGTGAGGGAACATGCAGTGGTGCAGAATTCCCCCCGGAGTAGCTGTTGCAATGAGGAATAACTTATTCTTATAGCTCCAGAAACCTTTCTGTTTTAAGTAAGTTCTTCTTTCCACAATTCCTGGAAATTAGTTCTCCCATCATTTTGTTTCAGCCCTTAGTACTCCTGTGGAAGGTGGTGGCATAAATGGATTTGTAAAGGGATATTTCAAGCATAGGGAGTACACATGCCATCACTTGTACCCTGTTCATCTCGTTCTAACCAAAATACCAAGGCCTTAGGTTCTCAGCGTTGCTGCAGGCAAGATGCTAAAATACTGCACCAGTTGCCATGTTAAGCAACTGAGAATTTATTTGTTGAGATGGAGTCAAGGCTTCCTCTGCAAGCTCCCTAGGATCATCATGCAGGAAAGGATATGAGCCTCATCTGAGGAAGATTTACAAAGTAGGTTTCCATTCCTCTGCAGAGATGTCTATTGGCAGGAACATGTTGCTGGGTTGGTTCCAAATAATTCTTTAATATACAAATTCTTACTCTATATTATGAGGTGAGACTTCTATTTGCACCTATTATCCTACTCTAATAACAATTTAAAAACTCTATTTATCCTTTGCTTCTTTCTTTCCGTGATTCACTGCTTGCCACTTCCCATGAAAAGAGTGAGGAAAGAAGCTGTGCAGCACAATGAGAAATTTCTTAGCTGAAAATTTCCTTTCTGCTAGCAGTTTCTCTCCTCATTCCACCCATCTTGGTAGTCTGGGAAATGACCGGATGCTAATAAGCAGGTGTTGGAATAGTTCTGTCACTTTGGAAGAACTCTTCTGGTGGCCTAAGAGGAAGGGCAGGATTTGGTCCTGGAGCCTCCAGCAAGAACACTGGACCTCCTCAGATTTCCACAGGTGGGAAGCAGTTAACCATTACCCAGTGATGAATGAGGAAAGAAGCTGTTAACAGAAAGAAAACCATCAAATAAGAAATGTCCCATTCCAGTTGCTGAGTGGGATGTGTTTCCTTCACTTAAGAGTTTCACTCATCCCTCCTCAGATCCATAGGAACTTGTAGTGTCAGCTGACACTGACTCTATAAGCCTTACCCTGCGCTTGCTTCCGCCTCTGTGCTGTAAGCCAACAGAGTGTGGTCTGACTTCTGAGGGAAACATGCTCCACAGAAGACACAGGGACAGAACACTGGACCTCTGCCCAAAATCCCCAGCCCTTTGCAAGTTTTCTATGATCCAGAGGATTTCCCCATGGATTTCACAACATCTGTGGATTTAAAGAGTCCAGCCCATTAAGTGGTAGGGGCAAACCTTGCATCCCTGACTGGATTATCCCAGGGAAACTCCACAAGCTCAGTATTTTCTTGGCCCTTTCACAGGAAATGAGATGGCCCAGTTAGTACACATTTAATTAATTAATTAATTATGTATTGATTGTGTTTGGATAATGTAAACTAGTTTATTCAAGTCACATGCACATATGTAATTTGCAAGACAAGTGTTAACTTTTGTAGCTCTCTCTGTCATGCCAGAATAGAATAGATCAGCAGCCTAACTATTGTGAACAGCAGATTTATTTTTAAAATGTCTTATTGTGTTTTTTAGAAATTGAATTTAAGGAGGGTGAAACACAGCACATTGTGGAGATTGAGGTTCTTTTTGACGGTGTTAGAGAGATGAGAGAGGCCTTCACTGTTCACCTGAAGCCTGATGAGAACATGGTGGCAGAGATACAGGTAACACAAACTATTCAACAGCACAATCTGGCAGACCTCTTATAGCTATTATCCTAGTAGCCTTGTTCTTCAGCTGGGTTATAATGAAGAGCCTATAATTTCCATCCAAAATAATTCACCTCCATGGCTGAAGAGCCCAAAGGGCCACAGAGAACATATATGTTCTTAGGAACATATATGAAATAAATATCTATAATATCTCCTTGCAAATTAATTCTCTTTATCAGGATAGTTCTCAGTAACTATCATCACCTTGGAAACACTGACTGACAGGATCTTTCTGACACCTGTGCTGGAAGCTGTGGAAGTACCATGGGTCCTGTAATAACAGCAGACTGCCTACACATGTATTAAATGTAACTTCTGCTATAATAGTTCTGTTATTGCTACACTTGTTGCTTGAACTCCAATAGTAGCAGTCTTATCTATTAATACATTCTGTCTGCATTTAACACTAATACTTTCCTTCTTTGATTCTCCATATTCTCCATGACTTAGAAGTGCAACATCCGTAATACTATTTAGACTCTTAATCAGTTGTCACATTGTGGGATTCAACCCAGACCAGTGAGAGGTTGTGTCACTGCCTGTCCTGTAGCCCTGATTGCCTTAAAATGCTGTGCTGCTATAGCTCCCTGTCTCGATGCTCTCAGTCAGTGTACAAGCATGCACTTAGTATCTGTGTGTAGAACCACCCTGTTTCAGCAACTCAGATGCCAACAGCATGTTTGTTACAATAAAGTCACACTCTGGTCTCTGAGTCTTGATTGTTACTAGCCAAGTGACCCCAACAAACTCCCAGCCCTGAATTTTCCCAAAACTGTCTGCCCTGAAATGTCCAGCCCTCTCGTGGAATGTTCAGAGGAGTAATAAGGTCTGTTGCTCCTTTAAAGAGACAAAGCACAACAGCTTGTTGCTTTAACTGGAGTTAATAATCCCTTCAAGTCAAACACAGCACTGATTTTGAATGAAAGTAAAACAAGTTTATTTAATCAAAAAGAGAGAGATTTTAAGTGAGTTCAGGTATAAGGGATAAAGATGGAAATAATTACAAACAAATAAAAGTGAAAAAATGCTTTCTAATGACCAAGACCTACCTTGAACCAAAACTAGTTTTGTTATGATTCTTACCACAACTCCCTCCAGCAAGATGACTGACCACCCCCTTGGTCATCTTCCACAAAGTCAGGACAGCTTGCTTCCTTTTTCTTCCCAGGCAAAATATTTTTTTGCTGAAGTAGGTTTCTCACCTATATTCAGTTCCCAAAGACTTCAACCCCCTAGGTTGTAAAGACCCATCTTTCTCATCTTACAAGAGCTCTGGCCCCTTGTGTCCATCCAGTGACTGATGCCAAGATAGCTTATTCTGTCGCCTTGGATCTTCCCAAACTCACTGTTTTGTCCCCAGACTCAGGATTGTTGGAGACCCCAGGGCATGGCCACTAGTTAAGTTCAGGGGATGGAAGACCATAAGGGTCGAGGAAATCTCCCTGCTGAAGGCCTAAGGGCTTCTTGTCAACCCCCCTTAATAGAACTCAGGCCTGGCTGGTTTGAGTAAGCTCTTTTGCTCTTAAAACAATGTTGCAGTTGTAGATAATGCCTCATAGTGTAAGGTTTGCTGACGCCAAGTTAAAGGTAACAGGAGAGACAGCTACAAGGCCAGACAGGATGTGCTGGTTGTTTAAATTGCTAGGAATGCTTGTTAGAGGTTGCAGGAAATAAACTTTGTTGTAACCCATATAAGGAAGGCAGAGTATTTGTGCAAAGCTTTGATTGGCTGATATGTAGTGCGGTAGCATTAAGGAATATAAAAGTGTGTGTAATGACCTGCTCTGGTGTGCAGGATTTGAGATTTCTCTCCCTGTGCCTTTCTTTGGAATTCCAAATAAACTTTTCTGCTTCTCCACCCCATTGTGTTTATTGGGTGACGCACACCGGGCAACAAACCCCTGCTGTTGTTTTGCCTCTGGGCACTGGGTGCCGGCAACAGGATGACAATCGTGAACCATTCTTCACTTTTTGTGGACCTCCCATAAATGTGGGCTTCCATTATTTTTGGTCACTTCTTGCTTAATTTCACTGGATAGCTGCCTTCCCTTCTGTAGAAGTAGATAGCTGCCTTCCCTTCTGTCTGGGAGAAAAGCTGTTTCTCCCTTTGTTAGGTCATAGACTTTAAGCGTAATATCAGTGAGTATTCATAATTCCTCATATAGTGTTAATACATACATTTCAGGTTATATTAATCACCAATGTGGTGTTAACGTTCATAAAAGACCTTGCTTGATACACTTTTATAATACAGTAATATTGTAAACAATCAGCTGATTCAATTACTTATCATTTGAGGTTCAGCTCTTTGCGAGAGGCTAGCTCCTCCACTTGCTACATTGATGGCATTGTTTACCATTTATGTAAATGTGCCTTCGTTGTCTTTGCCTGATGACCAGCAAATCCACATTCCTTTGTCTAGGGCAGACTATGCTTGTGTGTTGCTTGCCAAACACATTTTAAGAACATAATTCTAGCATTCATCCCTATTCCTTAGTACACACCCTGCATGTACACAGCACAGGAATATTAATAAGTCAGTTATTAGTTTTGAAATGATATGTTACATCCCACTATATGGATATATATCATGACGACAGTGTGTTAGGTTATGAAGTACGTCTGGCCTGACAAGAGCTTCTGACACAGATTAGAGAATCCCTAATGGGCCTCTGTGTCACACTGCATAAATTGTAAATAAGACCTGTCGCCTGGCTCCCTATCATCAGGCAGAAAAGATATATAGCCACAGACACCACAGATCCACCAGACATGTGAAGCTGCAGCATTCAATAAAGATAAGTTATGCCATAATGGCTGTGTGGCTCAAGGACACAATGAGGCAGGAAATGGAAGGCCTCGTGCCTTCATCCTTCTGAGAAACACAAATATTTTGTTAAAAGAAAAGGAGGACTTGTGGCACCTTAGAGACTAACAAATTTATTTGAGCATAAGCTTTCGTGAGCTACAGCTCACTTCATTGGATGCATTCAGTGCAAAATACAGTGGGGAGATTTATATACATAGAGAACATGAAACAATGGGTGTTACCATACACACCGTAACGAGAGTGATCACTTAAGGTGAGCTATTACCAGCAGGAGAGCCGGTGGGGGGGGAACCTTTTGTAGTGATAATCAAGGTGGGCCATTTCCAGCAGTTGACAAGAACGTCTGAGGAACAGTGGGGGGGAGGGGGAAGAGGAATAAACATGGGGAAATAGCTTTACTTTGTGTAATGACCCATCCACTCCCAGTCTCTATTCAAGCCTAAGTTAACTGTATCCAGTTTGCAAATTACTTCAAATACAATTAACTTAGGCTTGAATAGAGACTGGGAGTGGATGGGTCATTACACAAAGTAAAACTATTTCCCCATGTTTATTTCTCCCCCCCCCACCCCCCCCCACTGTTCCTCAGACGTTCTTGTCAACTGCTGGAAATGGCCCACCTTGATTATCACTACAAAAGGTTCCCCCCCGCCGGCTCTCCTGCTGGTAATAGCTCACCTTAAGTGATCACTCTCGTTACGGTGTGTATGGTAACACCCATTGTTTCATGTTCTCTATGTATATAAATCTCCCCACTGTATTTTGCACTGAATGCATCCAATGAAGTGAGCTGTAGCTCACGAAAGCTTATGCTCAAATAAATTTGTTAGTCTCTAAGGTGCCACAAGTCCTCCTTTTCTTTTTGCGAATACAGAGTAACACAGCTGCTACTCTGAAATATTTTGTTGCCATTCTGTTTCTCATCGTGTGCTATATTTTCCAGTGCTTCCATGGTGCTTCTGTCATTTCTCTTGGGATACTATTCTGCAGGCTAACAAATGCTGCTGCTGCTGCTAGGAAATATTTCCTGATCAGCCTTCAGATTGAGTTGTCTTGGTTTTGTACATTTGCACTAAAAAATTGTGTTTCTGTATATTAATTGCCAGACAGCCAAGGCCATTGTGTACATTGAAGAAATGAACAGCATGGCGGATGTCACCTTTCCTTCAGTCCCTCAGGTTGCTTCTCTTTTGGTATATGATGATACTTCTAGAGCAAAAGACAGACCTGGTCCAGTTGCTGGCTACCCTGTTGTCTGTATCACGGTGAGTATCAAGATGAGAAGTGGGAACAAAGCTAGTAGGTGTGTGATTTGAAAGAAACAATGGCAATGTATACTGCCTGAGGGAAGTGGTGAAGGGCTATTATAAAATAGAACACCTTTTTCAAATACTTTTGCCACTAATGATAGATAAGAAATGTCTCCAGAAAGCATTTTTATTAAGGTATGTATGTTGCATCATGAAAAGTTGTTCACTGCCAATACTGTGTGTGATACTATATTTTCTTTATACAAGATGCTTGGGTAAATAATATGAAAATGTATCATCTTTGAAAAAGAAAACAAATGTGAAATACAGGAATTTAGATATTAAAAATAGAAATTACATTTAAATACTCTTTTGGATCTGACTTTAAAAGAGTTTCGTCCACCATTAGCTGTATACAAGCAAGAGTTTACTACCATACTTATAGCAAAAAGATAAATTTTAAAAAAAGTTATACTTCCAAAGGGAAGCACTCAAAAGTCAGCAAATTGCCAAAATTAATGTTTCACATACAAACTTGAGTCTTGTGTGCATACATTAAAATTCAAGGCTGGATTCTCAGCCCATGATCCAGCCCTTTTCTACCACAAAATCTGCCTTAACAGGGCAGCTGGGGATTCCCCTTTAATAGAACATGTCATAGAGCCAGTGTAGCCAAATCTACATCATCCCTCAGACACCTCTCCAATAGAGGGAGTGTTAGGGGGACAGGAAGGAATGTGGACAGAGAAAGTACTACACTTCGGCAATCCCTGCTGTTGTGAATTACAAGCAAGTATAAGCTGTAGGATAGAAGCTGCTCTAACTTGGGTGGAGGTCAAATCAACTTTTAGGGGGAAGAACAGGGACAGAAAGCCTTCACCCACCTACCCCTGTTTCCTGTGCCAACCATAGCTTGGCCAGACTCAAGGGCCTTGTCCTGTGTCTTTAATTATGTGACTACACACTATTTTTTCCTCATGGCCCTTGTCTCATTCAGTCTCTGATCCTACACCATTAAAGTCAATTTATTGCACTGTCCAGTCTGTGCAGTGAATTAGGTCAGGGTCCTCTGTAATCCTTGGTGCACTGAGCCTGAATTTTTGTAAACTGAATGTGGAGATAAAAAATTATATACATTGCGTCGGGATTCTATCCATCTCCTTTAGAGTTTTTCAATGTGCACCTTCACAGGTTATGGATTGCACGAGACAAGGTTTTCCTAAATCACAGTAAAAGCTTTTATGTAACTTTGTTACACATCTGTGCACAATGCCATTTGAACATTGGGAGACTTGGATCAAAGGGCCAAATCAGACTTAGCATATGGGGTGCAACTCTACTGAATGCACTGACTGCATAACCCAGGTCTGAATTTGACCTATATGCAGTATTTCAGATCAAAACTGGAATCCTATAAGCACAATTATAACTTTATAAGGATATAACAGAATAAGTTGCTAAAAGGGTATTCTTAAAATATATTTTTTTCAAATTTGCCCTGCACTAAAATTCTTCTTTGTTGTGTTTCCTGACTGTTGAGTGATTAAAGCCACAGGTTAGCTCTCCATCCATAACTTGCACTTTCGGTATAAGGTTTTTTTTGGTGCTTTTGTTCCACAGTGTACTCCTGAGGGCATTCTGTGCCAAAAAATTAAAAATTCTGCGCACAATATTTTAAAATTCTGCAAAAATCTGCAAATTGTATTTGTCACATAAATGTGGAGGCTCCAGCATGGCATTGGGGAGCACAGGCCAGCGGCTGCGCAAAAGTGGGAGATAATTGTGCAGCTCCTCCTCTCTCCCGGTACATGGACTCAGCGGTGAGGCTGCTCCCAACCCTGACAAGCTCAAGGACCTGGCCTGCCCCAGAAACACCCCAGGTCCCTGCCCCTCCATACTAGGTGCACTGGGGTGGGCAGGCAGGCTCAGACTGGCAGTATCCAAGTGTGGAGGGGCTTAGTGTGGGGGGATCCAGGTGTGGGTTGAGAGGGTTCTGTGTGGGGCAGTCTGGGTGTGGGTGGCTCAGTGGGGGATCTGGGTGTGGAGGGGATCTGGATGCACAGGGGCTTGTTGAGGGGTTCTGGGTGCAATGATAATGGGACTCTTCAGGGAATTCCAAATGCTCAGGAGTGCGGCTCAGTGGGGTATGGATCCAGGTGCAGCTGGTTGAGGCTCGGTGAGGTGGGGATCTGGGTGCGGGTGGCTTGTTGGTGTGGTCCAGGTGCAGGGGGAATGGGGCTCATCAGGGGGGTTCTTGGGACAGGGCGGGGTGAGGCTTGACAAGAGGGTCTGGGTATGAGGGGGTCTGGATGCATGGGGGTTGGGCGGATGGGGGAGAAGCTCCCTGTACAGGGATCCCTTCCCCTGCAGCTGAGGAGCAATGGGTGCAGGAAGTAGGGGGAGAGTTTGCAGAGCTTTCTGCAGTCTGGGGAGAAATCTGGGGGTGGATCTGACCCAGCACCGGATGCTGTGCAGAAGAAGAGGAAGTCCCGTCCTCCCGAGCCCAGCCAAGACTAGCAGCTGAGCCCAGCACAGGGGAGGAGCCACCAGAAGTGTCTTCCCCGGTCCTGCCCCCGCCCCACAGTGATTTACCTCTCTGCCAGCTACCCAAAACATATTGCTGGGGAGAGTCACATGACCCTTGTTGTGGCTTTCCTTTGCTCCCCAGTCAGAAAGTCATTTTTCTGCGGGGAAGCAAAGAAATCTATGGGGGACATGAATTCTGTGCGTGCACAGTGGCACAGAATTCCCCCGGAGTAACAGTGGCTAAAGCTAAACCTTATCTGAATTTCCCGATCATTTTCTCACTACTGGAATTGCTTTCTTTATCGTGAAATAAATAAGATCATTATAACTTGTCTGATTCTTTCCACAGGCTTGCAATCCTAAGTATACAGACTATGACAAGACAGGTTCAATATGTGCCAGCGAGAATATCAATAACACGCTGACTCGATACCGATGGCTGGTTAGTGCCCCTACTGGCCCTGACGGTGTGACCAGTCCAATGAGAGAGGTTGACTTTGATACATTCTTCACTTCCTCCAAGATGATCACACTGGACTCCATCTACTTTCAAGCTGGTTCTCGGGTTCAGTGTGCAGCTCGTGCTGTAAATTCAGATGGGAATGAAGGCCTAGAGCTCATGAGTCCCATTGTAACAATAAGCACAGATGAGGGTAATGTATCCATTAACTATAGCAAAACTTGCATACCACACAAAAAATGACTTTCTCTCTTACTTAATCAGCTTTCACTTACTTGACATCTTTAATGTCATAATCTTGCCTGTTCTCTAGTCATTCATGGAGCCTTCAAAAATCAATAAAACCTGAACTTCTAATGTAAAAAACAAGCAAGAAATAAACTTTTTATTGGAAAGGCTGCAGGGGGAAATGGGGAGGGAGGCGGAAAAAACTTTTAGGCCTTCTCTGCACATCATAAAGGAGTTATAAAAAGCACAAACACATTTCTGCCTTTGCTGAACACCTTTAAATAATCTTCCACATGACAAATCAGGCTTTCCTATTTTAAAAGTCAAATAAAAATATAGGGTCATACCAGAAATCAAAGGGTTTTTTTTATGTTTAATGTGATAGTTGTTAAACAATCAAAACAGAATTCCAAAGCGTTGCACTGTATAAATCCTATTTGAGATTATGACAGTTCTTTGTGTCACTCCTGCTCTCTTTGCTGCTACAGTAATTTTTTTTTATTTTGTGTAATATGCCATTTATAATAGAGAATATATTGTTCATTCTGTGCCTGAATTTGTCATTTTTAATTCCAAGTGGTTTGTTCTTTCCAGCTAACTATTCACAGCAAACTATTCTAGTTTTTACTGAGTAAGGGATCTGGAGGCTTGAATCAATAGAATTTCTACTTAGTCACTTTTTATTTTGCTTTGTGACCTCAGTTCACCCTCCCTGTGCTAGCAAAGACCCTGCATCCCAGAAGGGATTCTGCCTGAGTGTCTTGTGACACTCACTCCCCAACTGGCTCTGCCTACTTTTCTGGGGGCTGTGCTGGCCAATTCCAGGTTCTGGGGCTGAGTTTTGAATGTAGACACATGGGGGCTGGCCATAAATTATGTAATGCATTTTTTGGTGATTTTTCAAGACCCATCCACCCTCTTCTAACACTTTGTAACACTGAAACAAACACAGAATTAAGTACCCACCTGTCCTCTACTGTGTTATGTAATTTATGGATAGACCCCTTGATTGCTGGAAACGTCTCTCAGGGTGAACTTTTCACAACTGATGGCCCTGAACCCTTAGGGTATGTCTGCAAACTAAGCCTGGGTCTGTGGTACCCTGGCTTGCGGACTTGGTGTTTCCAAGTCCGTGTTTGAGTGTCCACACTGCGCTGTAAACCTGGGCTTACAATTGCTGGACCCAGGTCTCACAGTTGGGGTCATGCATCCATACTGTACTACACCAATCTTCTGACTCAAGTCTGCAGCTTGAGCTGCATCCACACTGCAAAATGACAGGGCCTGGACCCAAGTCACAGGTGGACTTGGGCTCTGACCCACCCCCTCTAGCAAGGTCCTAGGACCTGGATCTTGCGTGCTTGCTGACCCGAGTCAGACTTATTGGTATATGGAAGGAAGGGGGACCTGCACTGAAACCTGAGTCAGAGACTGGATGGGTTTAATGTGCAGTGTAGACATCCCTTAAGTCAATATTTTGAATTATCAAATGTAAATCCTTCATGGATGGAATGATGAGGAAAACTAACTGCAGGTTTACAAGTAGACATTTGAGTTATAGTTTTCTTAATTTACAAACAGTTCAATATGCATAAATATAATCTTAAGTAAGCTTGTTTAAACTTAAGTCCTCCTCAACATTATGGTTGCAGAAATCATTTGAGTCTAAACAACTTACCTCTATTGTTTTCCAATTTGCTCTGCTCTAGAGATGTAATCCAGGTACAACATGAGGAAAACATTTAAAAATAAAAGTAAAATCTTGTTTCAAAATAAGTGAAATTAACCATGCGACCAAACTACATTCTGAAGAGGATTTTGAACTTTCTTTTTTAACCTGCCAATGCATGCATGGACCACACTTTCAAAAAATGAGCACTCAAATAGCCCCACATTTAGCACAGTCCCATGTGCAAACAGACAGTCATTTCTGTGCAATAGGTACCTGTGTGTTTTCATATACAGTGTCTTGCTTTGCAAGCCTGTTATGCATACAGATATATGCTTAGAGTATGTGTATGCTCAATTTAGGCACCTAGTTTTGAAAATTTGATCCACTTTGGGCAAATAGTTCTGATTTCCACTTAAATCCTCTGTGGTAACAATTCCTGTTCAAAGTTATGGTTAATGCTGGATTCTCCTAACAGTCTGCTTTTCATTCCAAAAAAATTGTCTAGTTTTTAAAGTATGTACAGTGAAAAAGAAACTTAAGATTAGTGCAAAGCAGAATAAAATGTTGTTTCTTCTGGACACAAAGTGAAGTTGCTTTTCCCTTTTCCATTAGGTCTTTGCCAGCCCCGGGTGCCAGGTGTGGTTGGGGCAGAGCCATTCTCTGCCAAGCTGCGCTACACTGGACCGGAAGATCCAGACTATGCTAATCTCATCAAACTGACCATCACAATGCCTCATATTGATGGTATGTAAAAATTTCATCTATAGGTCAGAGTGCACATCATCTTCATTTTATTTTAGCAAGTGTCTTAGTAGCCAAAAGCACAGTGTAATCTCGTAGTGTTTGTAACAGTGGAGAAATGCCATGAATGTGTAATTTGAACCTGCGATAGTACAGTATGTCACAGTGATATATGTGTAAGGAGATGAGTCATCCCTGAATTACAGCCTGATTAAACTACATGGACTGAAGAGTCACTCCTGTACTAGGCTCTAGGCAATCCACAATCCAGAAACCTGTAAGGGCAGGTATATAAGCCTTACAGGAGGAACAGCAGCTCATTCTGCTCAATGACACTCCAGGACTTGGAACCTTTCCCTGCCTGATGATGGCAACAGACTCCACAAACCTTAGCTTGCTCTTGCTCTAGCCCTGTTCCTAGTGCTGCTCCAGCCTTGCTCTCACTTCGGCCTTATTCCAACCCCACACTGGACTCCTTATTCTGGGTCTTGACTCTGTGTCTCTGACCAGTGGGCTTAACTACCACAGCTCGGACCACTAGGCTCGACCATGCTCATCGTGGTTTCTGACAGAGCAGACTGACCTCTCTTGGGCTCAATGAACAAGATGGATCTCCTATGCTGGCAGGTGCTCTCTACAATCGAAATGAAATCTCTAGGCTCCTCTGCCACTGAAATGACAGAACTAGTTCGAGATCTCGAGAACTAAGTGGCCCAGCTACAATTGGAAAATGCCTTCCTGCGCTTGCATGTCCCAGCAGTCCCAGGCCCCCCTAACACCATCAGCCATGACAGCCCAAGATCTAGGTCCAAAGATAGTGCTTCCAGAGAGATTTGATGGGAGCCATCAAAAGTTTGGGGGGGGGGTTGCCATCATTGTTGTTACACCTAGCAATGTACATGAAAAAACAAACCATGATAGATGTCATCAGCAGCTTATTGACAGGAAGCACTGGATTAGGCATCGCCACTCCTGGAGCAGGACTTTGATTAATTCATTTGTGTCTTTTCACTTATGTTTGATCGTACCCACTACACTGAAGTTGCCCTGCTGTCACTCAAACAAGATCCCCGTTCTGTTGCAGCCTACACCACCCTGGTAACTGGCCTGGAACAAAGCAGTGCAGATTTACCTTTTCTGTCTAGGCCTGAATGATGAGATTAAAGATGAACTGGCCCAGGTAGATCCCCACTTGGCATTGCTTTCCAACACTGAGTTGTGTATCCAAATTGACAACCAACTGTTCAAGTAATGCCAGAAAAGAAGAAAGGTACATGCTTGGCCACTGCCTAGCCCAGACCTATTCCTGTGCCACACACCCCCAGGCAGTCATCAGACCCAAACCCATGCAGGTAGACATGACATGAAGGTGCCTTTCAGATCAAAATAAGGAATATCGTTGTCTGAATGGCCTCTGCCTGTACCGTGAGGAACGAGGCCACTTTGCCACCATGTGTCCCCTCAAGTCCTGTTCTGTCTGGCTAGTCTGAGAAAATGAGCAAATTCAGCCACATTAGAAGAGACACAGTCAGATGAAACAACAGGATCGGGTACCCTGGCCAGACCCCCTCTGCTACCTATATGTATCCTAACCATCGTGGACAATGGCCAATCCCGCCTTCAGGTGACACTCTGACTTTGGGCCCTCTATACACCTGAAGCGAGCTGCATTCAGCTTACGCTGATGCACTCCAGAGGCTCTGGCAATTTCATGGATACTGGGTAGCTAAAACAAATCACTTACCAGTTCAAAAGAAACTCGCCCCCACCTTGGTGGAGGCAATTGATGGCAGCTTGCTCTCCTTGGGCCCAGTGGTCTGTCAGACTGAACCCCTCTGAACTGTAATTCAAACCAGCAGGAAACCATGCAGTTTAACCTGATTGACTCAGTCCACTTCCCAATCATGCCTGGTATCCCCTGACTCTCCCTTCACAGTCTAGGCATTTCCTGGAGAGCACACAACGTTCAGTTTGAGTCTGATTATTGTCAGCATCAGTGCCTAGTCCAACTTAGTTTCAATGACATTAGACATAATCTGGGGAAAGCCTCCATTTTTTGCACACAGCAGGCTCCAAGTAAGGATAACTTACCCATTCCCACAAAATACATGGACTTTGAGGATGTATTCAAAAAAAGAAATACTGCAGCTCTGCACCCACATAGGCCCTGCTACTGCCCCTTAGATCGCTATCCGGGGGGCCAAAATCCCCTTTGGGTGAATTTACCCTATGAACTCAGGGCCCAATGGTAGTACTTCGGTGAAAATCTATCAAAAATTTTATCAGTCCCTTTACATCTCCTGTCGGAGCTGCAGTCTTGTTTGTCAAAAAAAAGGAAGGCACCCTGTACCTCTGCATAGACTATCAAGCACTGAACAGTATCACCATCAAAAATAAAATATCCTTTGCCATTGATCAGTGGATAGGGTCAGCTCAGCTAAAATTTTTACTAAACTTGACCTACACTGCACCTATAACCTGGTCCGCATCTAAGAGGGCAATGAATGGAAAACAGCTTTTCGTACTCAGCATGGACATTTTGAGTAACTTGTCATGCCTTTTGGTCTCTGTAATGCTACTGCCACATTCCAGCACTTGGTTAATGATATCTTCTGGAATATTCTAGACCAGTTTATCATTCTCTACCTAGATGATGTTCCTATTTTTTCAGAGAACCAAATCTTGCATGACCAGTGTGTCTGGTTAGTACTTGAACATCTTCAAACCAAGTCTGTATGGGAAGCCTGACAAATGTAAATTTGATCACACCTCAGTAGATTTATTGGGTTATACAATCTCTCCCAACAGAATAAGTATGGATCCCAAAAAAATATCTGCAGTTTTGACCTGGGCAACACCCAAAATCATCCATCAAATCCAGTACTTCCTAAGGTTCACCACTTTCTATAGATGATTCATCCATGGATTCTCTCAAATGGTGTTCCCATCTAAACCTTTTTTCATCAAAACAGATGCCTCCAATTACAAGATCAGGGAAATGAGATCTCAGCAACATGGGCCCCCAAATGACCTCCACCCTTGTGCCTTCTCTTCTATGAAATTGATACTCAAGGAACAAAATTAAGAAATCTATGATAAGGAAATACTGGTCATCAAGGTTGCATTTCAGGAGTGTCACCACCATAGAAGGTGCAGGCTTTCCAGTCCAGGTTTTCACAAATCATAAAAATCTGGAAATCTCCAAACTGCCACAGCCCTGAACCAGCATCAGATACATTAGATTCCTCTTCTTTTTTAGATTCAACTTCACCCTGGTCTGCTAGACCGGAACCTGAAATAAGAGAGCCAATGCATTATCCCATCAGGGGGAGTACCTAGATAAGGGTGATAACCCTCACAAATCTCCCCTTTATTGAAGCCTTGCTATTTTGTAAACATACTGGCCAACATCAATCTTTTGACCCTTGTAAAATCCTTATGCCCAGTGATGTGCTTGTGGTGACATGGATGTCAGCCAATTCTGACCCAAACTTCTCTGTTACAAACAAGATACTCTGGTACAAGGATCACATTTATGTCCCTGAAGGACCACCTTGTCTCCCAGTGCTCCAGCTATACCATGATTCCACTCTGGCAGGCCACTTCACATATGGGTAGAAAGCAAAGCTGAACAGTGGTAGCCCAAACTATTCTCCTCCGTCAAGTCGTGCTTCCAGTGAGTTGTGAAGCTGGACGAAGACCCTCCCCCCCAATACCAAACCGCTAGGTGCCCTGATCCTGCTTCCAACCCCACCCAACCATGAGCATCTTATCTCAATGGACATCATCACTGATGTCCCCACTTCTCAGGGCTGCATAGCTATACTGGTGATTGTCGACCTTTTTACCCAAATGGTCTCAAGTTGCAGTGGGGGAGGTTTAGGTTGGATATTAGGAAAAACTTTTTCACTAGGAGGGTGGTGAAACACTGGAATGCGTTGCCTAGGGAGGTGGTGGAATCTCCTTCCTTAGAAGTTTTTAAGGTCAGGCTTGACAAAGCCCTGGCTGGGATGATTTAATTGGGGATGGTTCCTGCTTTTGAGCAGGGGGTTGGACTAGATGACCTCCTGATGTCCCTTCCAACCCTGATATTCTATGATTCTATGAAATGGTGCACTTTGTGCCTTGTCAAAAGTTCCCCACTGCAGAAATGACAGCTCACTTAATTTTTGACTACCTCTTCAAGCTCCATGGGTCACCAACAGACATTATTCCTGGTCATAGGCCACAATTTTTCTCCCACTTTTGGAGAGAATTGTTCCAACTCCTGGAAGTCACCCTACACATTTCCTCAGCCTACCACCCCCAGATGCATGGACAAACAGAGAAGGTAAACCAAATTCTAGAACAATAATTTTGTTGCTTCATCAACTACCAGCAAGATGACTGATTCCAGTTCTTGCCTTTTGCCGAATTTGCTTACAGTAACTCCAGTCACAGATAAACCTTCCAAAGACCCTTCTGTGCCAACTATGGCTTCCACCCCCAATTTCATCAGTCTGTACTGCGGGCCTTCCATGTCTCCAAGGCTTTTGATTTGGTTCAACACCTCCACCACATTAAGGAGGAATTAAAATCATACTTAAACTCAGCCAAGGAGGACCTTCATCGACAGGACCATCCTCCCATGTCAGTCAGAGACAGAGGATGTCTCTCAACTCAACACTTGGGCACCTCCCGACCCTCAAGGAAACTAGACTACCATTACCTAGGTCCATTCTAGATGATTCAGCAAATTAACCCCATGCCCTTCAGGCTCCAGCTGCTGTGTACATGAAGATACATCCAGTATTCCATGCTTCCTTGTTAAAGACATATGTGGACAACTCCTTTCCTGGATGCACACAACCACCTCCACTCCCCATCATGGTTCAGGGGCAGGAAGAATATGTGGTGAGGCAGATCCTGGACTCCAAGCTCCTCTGAGGATGACTGATGTATCTCATAGATTTGGAAGGGTGTGGCCCAGTGAACCGTTCATGGGAACCAGCCATTAACATACATGCACCTGACCTCCTTTGTGAATTCCATCAATCACACCCCGACAAGCAGAGTCTAAGCACCCAGAGCGGGGGTGGGAGGGTAATGTAAGGTGATGAGTCATCGCTGAAGTAGACTCCGCAAGCCTTAACCTGCTCAAGCCCTTTTCCTACACCTGCTGCAACTTTGCTCTCACTCCAACCCCTGGTGGACTGCTGATTCCAGCTGTGACCCACCTAGCTCTGAGCACTAAACCCGACTGCCGTGGCTCCAACCACTAGGCCTGACCACCTCCGTCACAGTTTCTGACAAGATGTTCTCTTTTCCTCAAGTTCTTCGATGTGAAAATTAAATGCTTCTAAATTATTTGCAGTTTACACAAATTGGGCCTAATCTATGCTTAATATAACTCCTTTGAAGCTGATTAAGTTACACTAGGGATGAATTTATCCTGTCAAATATTAAGTGTTATGCAGGTGTTGGGGGAAATGAAATCTCCTGGATGCCTATGCACTGCTTATTGAATGCCTTTCAGAAAACAGAGGTTGATACGAGCTGAGAAGTTGTTTATGTTACATGGAAGTGTCACTCTAGTAGAATGGGCATCTAAACATTCTGGCAATAGCCACTGGTGAACTAGTTTTTAAATTTAGCTTGAGTGTAAAGTGTTTAGAGCAGACAGCTAGAATTCTTTTCCCAGTCTTGCTGTCAACTTTGGACAAGTTACTTACCCTAATTAGATCTCAGTTTATCCATTTGCAAGCTGGGTATAATCATGTTTACCAATTTCAGAGAGGTTTTAGGAGACTTTAATGACTGTTTTTAAAGCATTTTAATGAATGGTGAGGGATACAGTAGAAACTGATTTGCTGGGATGATTAGGAAATCAGTTAATTAGCCAAAAAGTAAACAGACAATTTAAAAAGCAAGAAAACTGTATCACAAAATGCACTTTATGCTTTTATCTTAACAGCTATAGCTCAGTTTTCATTATTTTATGATGAATCTTAATAATGTGCAATGAATGCATTATAACATAATTTATCCGGAACAACATCTTATAATGAGACCTCCCATAAAATTTGAAAAGCACCTAGCTGTTTTAGGACCCAAACTCCCATTCTAAAAAGTGACTTCGGCACCTGATTTTACCCAACGTCTCATATTACAAAGATGTCATTATTTTCCAACATTCTGCTACGCAGATGCACGGACATCATTTTTGTTTACATTTTAAAGTGCATTGATTAGTGAGGTTCTCCTGTATGTTCAAAGCACAGTCTAATATACCTAATATAATGTGTTTGGTGACTGGCAAATTTTGGCAGAACTGAATGTTAAAATGTAGTTACGGTGCCACCAGTTACCCGTATGTTTTCTAGGCATGTTACCTGTTATCTCCACGAGGGAGCTGTCCAACTTCGAGCTAACCCTCAGCCATGATGGAACTAGGGTGGGAAATCATAAATGCTCCAACCTGTTGGATTACACAGAAGTGAAGACTCACCATGGCTTCTTGACTGATGCTACCAAAAATCCAGATGTGATTGGAGAGACCATTCCCTACCAACACAGTGCGTCAATCAGGGGCACCGGTACTTTACGCTTCTACCGAAATCTGAACCTGGAGGCCTGTTTATGGGAGTTTGTCAGCTATTATGACATGTCTGAGCTCCTCACTGATTGTGGAGGCACCATTGGGACAGATGGACAGGTACCAAATGTTAACTTCTTATCTGTATAGTGGTCTCAAAATAAACGAATCCAGTTCAGTAATTTTCCCTGTGATTTACATGTGCTCTAAGACTAAATGGCTTAAGAATTGCATTTAGTTAAGAATGAAAGCCTTTTCTTTCATTAACCATCCATAGACCTGTACTGAACCTGATTATTTCATAACACTATCAATAGCCACTAAATACCAGCAAACATAATGTGTGAAATCCTGGCCCCACTGAAGCTAATGGCAGAACTCCCGTTGGCTTTTAGCAGTACACCTCTACCCCGATATAATGCAACCCGGTATAACACGAATTCAGATATAACGCAGTAAAGCAGCGCTCCAGGGGGGCGGAGCTGCATGCTCCGGTGGATCAAAGCAAGTTTGATATAACGTGGTTTTACCTATAACACGGTAAGATTTTTTGGCTCCCGAGGACAGCGTTATATTGGGGTAGAGGTGTATTATATTACCCACTGCTCCTGATGGGTCATGTTTTCTCTTTGTGCAAGGTGAGCAGGTTGGCAAGTGAATTGCCAGTCAGTGTGAAGATTTCTTTGTGTTTGTGTCTTTAAGGCCAAGTCTTGGTTCTTCACCCCACCTGGCCCATGTGGCCGAAAAAGTAGTGCTGAGGAGGGTGTAGTGGATAGACTTCCTGGAAGGGGTCTGCAACTCTCTTCATGCCATGGGACTTTGCTTTGTGGTAGCTCCACCCATGGCAGGGACTGGGAGAAGACTGGGTGCATGCTGGGGGAAATGATGTCAGTGGACCAGTGACTTGTTTGGTTTCATTGCAACACTCCAAGCAGTCTGGGGCAGGAGGTGCAGCAGCCACAGACACTGTGCAGATGGGTGGCTACTGCCTACACAGAGCATTTCTTTTGGGGTCTCTGTCTGCGAGGGAGCAAACCCTGTGTGAGGATACAAGCACAGCCTCCTTCAATCTGTACCATGATGACAGGGAAGAGGGGCTAGGAAGTTTCTTGCCAGGCATTCTTGAAGCAGAGAGACACAGAGTACTTCATAGAGATTTTCAGAGGGGCTGAGCACCCACAAGTCCACAACTAATGGTTGTGGGAATTGCATGTGCTCATCCCTTCTTGTAAATCAAACCACTTTTATTTAAGTGTCTAAATGAGGATGTAGCTACCTAACTTTAGGAACCTACATCTGAAAATGTGCACCCTGATCTCCTGGCACTACACCAGTTAGTCTAAATTAGAACTGTGTTCTGGCTAAAGCTGAGGTCAGCCCTTATAGTTAGCAACAGTTTTCATTGTGCCAACACTCCACAATCCAGTAAGCCAAAGTCTGAAATTCAAGATATATAAAGTATATACACTTACAGTATATAAAGCTCTTAAAACAATAGATCTGACATACTTGAAAGATCCAAGCCATAGATATAGGCTGGGTTATGACCCCTATACGTTCCTTAAATACTGCACAGCGATGTTGTGAAGCTTAATGAATTAATGACTCTGAAGAGCTTTGCGATCCTCAGATGAAAGGTGCTATAGAAGTACAAAGTATTATTTTTGAAAGGAAGTTTAAAAATGGGGGGGCTAAGAAAAGTTGGTGTCCCTTTTCATATTTAATTTATATAGGGGGAAAAAGTCAGCCTGGATTTATTTGATAGAGTATCATTTGATCTTATTTCCTCCTGTTGTAATTACATTCTAGAGCCAGACAATTTGTGGTTCTGGTCATGTGCTTATTTGTGGAAGTTACTTTCTCTTGTTTCAGTCCATTACCAGGCTTGACATGGTGGCTCAAGAAAATTATCATTCAAACAAATTTTATTAACAATATCAAGTAAAGTAAGTCTCTGCCAGAAACAACAAGATGAAGAAAGTACATTAAAATGTTGAATGTACAGATTGGTAGCTTGAAGCTACTGTAATGGAATACAGCCGAGCAGTTGTATTTCACTCTGCAACAGAGAGGCTGCTTCTAGCCAGGGTTTGAAAAAGATTTCCCTTCCAGTCTGTTCAGCTCATATTTCTAGTGCAGATGGTGTAGGCTGAGATGTTTAGATGGTCCATGTAAAAATTCATTTAAAAGCTATCACTTTATTACCGTGAGTTGTATACGGAAGTTCACGAATTTTTACTCTAAAGAACCAGTGTTTTTCCATCTTCACTAGATCTAGCTTCAGCAAAATGGGACCTCAGAGCTGTGAGTTAGTTTTCCTGATGAATTCGCTGGACAGTATAAATTGCAAATAAAAAGAAATATATATTTTCATGGCAGTTTTTCAAGCTCAGCTAGCATAATCAACTTGTGATTTTTCCTTAAACATGTCAGGTCCCATAACAGAAGTCTTCCACCACCTCCCCAGCTGTTTTTGTAAATAAGTGAATTCAGTAAGGGATGAAAAGAAAAACTATTTTATAAAGTGAATACTTTGTGGATGTATGGGCACCAGCTGTGCAACAAAGTAAAAAGTTAAACATTTCAAGAGGCCTGACATGTCAAGGCTGCGTTCCATTCTCCTCCCCATTCAAATTCTTTTAAACAAACCTGCTTTGCATTTTACCTTTAACTCACCTGGCCATCTGCCTTCCTGGGGCTGACTCTTCACTTTAACAAACTGATATTGTGTAAATAAGGGGTTGATAACATTGTTAAGCCTGCATGGATAAATTGAAGAGATATATCCTACAAATGCAATGAAAAATAGGTTCAGGACAACTTGGAGGACAAAATTATAGTTAGCATGAAAATCCTGCTTCACTGAGAAATATATTACAAAGGATTCAAGGAATACTGCTTGCCTCTAACTATTTTTCATGCTATAAACACCTAGTGATGAGGACACACTCTCTCATGCTGTCCCTGATAGTATCCCAAGGATCATGTAACGCAGTGGTTCTCAAAGCCGGTCCGCCGCTTGTTCAGGGAAAGCCCCTAGTGGGCCGGGCCGGTTTATTTACCTGCCGTGTCCGCAGGTTCGGCCAATCACGGCTCCCAGTGGCCGTGGTTCGCCGCTCCAGGCCAATGGGGGCTGTGGGAAGCAGCACGGGCCAAAGAATATGCTGGCCCTTCCCACAGCCCCCATTGGCCTGGAGTGGTAAACCGCGGCCAGTGAAAGCCGCAATCAGCCGAACCTGTGGATGCTTCAGATAAACAAACCATCGCGGCCCGCCACGGGCTTTCCCTGAACAAGCAGCCAACCGGCTTTGAGAACCACTGAACAGATCATTTTCCTGGGCCAGGTTCTGCCCTCACAAACACTAGGGCTGTTTTGTTAAAATCAGTGGCGTTGCAATAGTGAAATTATGAGCAAAATGTGCCTAAAATGGACCTGAAACAGAGAATGTCCTTTCTGATGTGCGTTTCTGTTTCATCTGTGCTGTGACAGATTTGGCACTGAAACATATTTGGAGTATCTAATAAAGTGTTCTCCAATGGAAAGAGACCCTGTAGAAATGGTGTGTGGGGGCAGGGGTTGTTTTTTACCTCTTGTAATCCTGGCATGGGAACCATCAATGTTCAGAAACAGACGTCAGGCTCATTCTGACATTTCCGATTGCAAAAGAGATGCTTGTAAGTCTACTCCCCACAGAGCTGACAGGCATGAAAGATTTGCTTCGCTCACAGGAATGACTTCTATAAACAGCTGTTAGAGTGATTTATTGATCTGCAGCTTTATCAGGTATTGGTAGAGTGCATTTCTTGTACCGCTTGGAGCAGCTTCTCTGTTCTATCTTCTCATGTTCTCCAGGCATGACGTGGTTACAGGGCATTAGACACAATTTCCTAGATCCCACAGCCCCCCTCTCTTTTGGCTCTGAGTGTGACAGTGAACTATGAATATCCACTTCAGCGTCATAAGGTTAAAAGTCGTACAACGTTCTGAGAAATTATTCTAGATATTATTTTAATTATTGTATTGCTAATGACTAAAACTCTGATAATGTGACTGCTGAGTTCAACTGAGTATGGAATACATAGATATGTAATGCACCTGTTCTGTATCTCCATAGCACTTAAACTGATACTCTACTTTTATAGCTCTCAGTTAGCCTCCTGCTTTCATAACATCAAGTTAAAATAGGAACAGCTGCTTACTTTGATTAGTCTCTGTGGGCAGTGCTAAAAAATGGAGCTATGACAATGGAAGGAATGTTTTCCATATTCAGTTGAATGGCATATCCCAAGTAGGACTGGAAAAATAGGGTTTCTCAAACTATATGGAAATGGTTAGTTGATTTCTTTGTTTTTTTCTTTCCAGACTGGAACCAGAAGCATTTTGGTTCTGTTCACTGGTAACTCAACTTGGAATGCAGGGAAAAAATCCCTTCTCCAGTCTCCACAGCAGCTTTTTAATAAGCTTGCCCATTTTATTTTAGTTTTATTTCGTTTGATCGAAGAGATGAACTACACGTTTTTTATTTTATTTTTCTGTCTACTGGGCTAAAATGATTATTTTCACTGGCAGGGTTCTGCTTGTTTATTAAGAAATAGTGTAGTGATGCAACTTATTTAATAACATTTGTGGTAGAATCGGAGTATAGATAATGGACTCGATTAATCTTGGTGGCCATCAGGAGTACAATTGTCAGCCCTATCGCTGAACCCACGAGAGGGCAGCTATTCTGGCAGAGGCATATTTTCTCCTTCTCTTTCTCTCTGACACATGCCCAGCAATATTACCTAGGGTTGCCAGGCATCCGGTTTCTGACCGGAATGCTCAGTCAAAAAGGGACCCTAGCGGCTCCAGTCAGCACTGCTGACCAGGCCGCTGAAAGTCCAGTCAGCAGCGCAGCGGGACTAAGGCAGTCTCCCTGGCAGCCGGCATGTCCAGCTCCTAGGCACAAACGGGACCAGGGAGGCTCCACGCACTGCCCCCCCCCAAGCACCGGGACCACTGCCAATGGGAGCTGCGGGGGCAGTGCCTGCAGGCACAGGCAGTGCACAGAGCCCCCTAGCCCCTCCGCCTAGGAGCCGGACATGCCGGCCGCTTCCGGGAGCCACCTCAGGTCAGCACCACCCGGTTGGAGCTTGCACCCCGTACTCCATCCCGCACTCCAAACCCCTCGGCCCCTCAAGCCCGGAGCCCTTTCCTGCACCCCAAACCCCTCATCTCTGGCCCCACCCCAGAGCCCTCACCCCGTCCTCCTGTACCCCAACCTCCTGCCCCAGCCGAGAGGCCCCTCCCACACTCTGAACCCCTTGGCCCCAAGCCCGGAGCCCTCTCCTGCACCCCAAACTGCTCATCACGAGACCCCCCAGCCAGAGTCCTCAGCCACTCCCACACCCAACCCCCTGCCCCAGCCCAGTGAAAGTAAGTGAGGGTGGTAGAGAGTGAGCAACATAGGGACGGGGGGATGGAGTGTGCAGGGCGCAGGGCCTCAGAGAAGGATTGGAGTCTCAGGGAAGGGGGTGGAGCAAGGGTGTTCAGTTTTATGTGATTAGAAGATTGGCAACCCTAACAATACCCCCTGCTTTCCTTTATGGGTTCTCTCAGGGGAGGGTAGCTTTTAAGTTCCATACAGGAATTAGCCCATCTCCTAATGCACTGATCCCAGCCAGGTCTTTTATTCTTTCTGTGCTGCACCAGCAGGCTTCAGGCCCTCCTAGAGAGCGAGGGTTGTCAGTGCTTTCTGACACTGGAACCGTCTTTCGGTAGACTTTCACTCAGCGGGGACCCGCAGACTTATTTCCACCAGTAGAAATGAATTGTCTCCAATAGAGAGACATGTGCCCTATAGAATGGAGGGGGGAAATGCAAGTCTAAATTGTTGCTTACAGATTACGTTAATTAGTTCATGTAAACTATGCGTAAATATCTGACAATGTCTGGTGCATACAGCTCCGGTAAAGGTGTAACAGAAAAGCAAAACATTGCACTATGCTTGTTTTCTTTACAACAGATGATTGAATATATGTCAAACCTTTTACCATGTTAGCTCTTTTAGCTAGTGTTGTTTTCCCCACTCCCCTCATCACACACAAACTGAATTTAAGACCTTTGGTTGGTTGGTTTTTTGCTATACGAACATGCAGATGGAAAACAAATATTCCTATGTAAAGATCAAGAAAAGGTCTTTTGAGCTGGTAGAGATGTGTTTAGTTATGGAAGCAAATGGGTTTGAATCTTGACTATGTGCCAGGAGTGCAAGATTGCCCCTGAATCAGAGGCAAATCAGATCTCGTCGGGAGCTGCATCACAGCCTGCATTTGTCTTAACATAAGTTAATATCCTGTTGTATTGCTTTGGAACAACATGCCAAATCTGTGCCCGAAGTCATTCCATTGAAGTGAGTGGAGTTCCCTCAGGGTGAACTTGGCCCTATTCGTGTGATACATAGTTGACTGAAGGAGCAACGTTTTTTGTCTAAGAACTTCTTGGCATTTAGTACACCTAAACAGGAAAGCTATTGCCCTGATCCAGAAAAAAAGTTCCTGGCCATATTAATTAAAACTAACAAAGGAGCATTAATCTTAACTGACCATAACAGTAGCACCTAATATTAGCTGTGAGGCCACTTTATTACATAGCACTTTAGGAATCATAAATACACATTTCAAGATCAATTGGTAAGTACTAGTAATAACAGACACCTTATAAAATATTTTCCAATTATACCTTGAACTGCGAGACAAGTTTTTCTACAGACCAGATTACAGAAACTGGCTAAGTATTAATTGAGCTTTCATAAATCATGCAGCTGGATGAGCCAAGTGATCTTTTGCTGACTCTATCTCTGATTTTAAATACAAACGTTTGAAAGGACCTAGAATATCTTTTAAAACAGGAGAAAGTAAGAAAAGACTCTCCTTTTCATAAATTTTCAGATGATATAGAGTTTAAATGTTAATGTGTGTTAGAAGATGACTCCACAAGCAGATGAAATGAAAGGAAGGAGGTTTTTTTGACAGCACATTGCACAGGCTAAATGATTTTGCATGTAGAAGCACATTAACAACTGCCAACATTTTCAGTAACCAAGTACTTACTTACTTCAGAATGTGAAGTGCTGCAAAAAAGTAATATTGCTATACTTGTGGTTTCATGAATTACTATGCTTTTTGTCAGGGACAGGAAAACATAAACCAGGAGTAAGAGAGACCCAATAAATGGATCTGAATCACAAAGGGTTTGGATTTCACACAACTTGTAAAATTTTAAAACCGCACTGGAGGTTTTGCAAAACGCTTTTAAAACCCTGTAAGGTATTAATCTGGGGGAGATATTCAAAGCCACAAATGGCAGTTAAGTGCCCCCTCCCACTGAAACTGAAATCTTTCCGTCTTCTCCATTACCCTCTTACCCTTTCCCCTCCAATGCAACCCATGGTGTTGTAAAAGTTCCTCAGTTACAGGCTCTCGATGGCCCTATCTGTAATAATAGGGCTGTAACTGCAGTATTATTTCACAAAAAATGAATATTAAATGAAATAGATATAAAAAAATCTGTTCAGAAAATAAAAAGGGCATAGAAGTCAGATAATCCTATTGTATATAATAGATCTTGATGTTCTAACCTTGTTCTTCTTTACTTCATTAAACATACCTTTTCTGGTTGAAAATATTTAAATAGAGTATTAGTATTTATATGATATAAACCAAAATTACTCTTTTTTAAAATCAGATTTAACTTTCTAATTCTTTTCAGTTGAAAGTATTCTAACTTGATATTTCAATGCACTATTAGTATTTATTTATGGAATGCACGCAGTATGACACCCACTATCTACCCATAGAAGAAGCCACAGTTCCAGCCATTAAGAGAATGTAATCTGAGGTTTCAATCTTGCAACGAGCTCCACGCAAATGCAGGGTCCTCCCATGCAGAGGTTATTGCGGGATTTGACATCTCAGAAGATGAGCACTAGGTGAAGGTTGAGAGAGAAGGATAAAATGTACAAACGAAGATTTGTTTTGTTAATCAGCTATCCCCAACTGGTTCTCTATCTAGCCATTGTTAATTGGCTATTTACAAAGATTGAACAAGAATGACGGGTCAAAAATTAGTTCCTTATTGTCAGAATTCATATCCTGTTTCAAATACAAGCAGGGCACTTAAGAGGATTTGTGTCCACGTGCAAGCCATTGAAATTCAGTGCTTTATTCATCATGTATAATTCGGAAGAGAGAGTACTCATCTCATTCAAAATGTTGACCGTAATCTATTTCTTCTGCATTTTTTGCTTATGCATTAATGTTGTTTGTACTGGACTATATTTCATTACCACGTACCTAACTAACTGATTTTGGTCTTTATAGGTCCTCAACCTAGTGCAGTCCTATGTGACCTTGCGAGTCCCCTTGTATGTCTCCTATGTTTTCCATTCACCTGTGGGTATAGGTGGCTGGCAGCATTTTGACCTACAGTCTGAACTTCGGCTGACTTTTGTGTATGACACTGCCATCTTGTGGAAGGATGGAATTGGCAGCCCACCTGAAGCAGAGCTCCAAGGTATGTTTTCAGACGTTGTTAATTTTTACTCTTGCTCTGTTGCTGAAGCTTTAGGTTGCATGCAGAAGAATAATTTTTGAAGCAACTGTAATATGAAAATATTGCTTTGTAGTATATATGTGAAATAATTAATTGCAAATAAACTGCCATTGGTCAGCCATTTTGTTCAATATTCTAGAGAGACTCTCTGATTTTGAAATTCTGTAAACTTGACTTCAGATGTGTTATTGCATTGAATGAAAAATATCAAGACATTTATCAACCACCTATGAAAAATCATAAAATTCCCTTTTTCTTACATGTTGACTGAAATTTAGGATTTGTTGTGTTTTTCTATTCCATTGTCACATAAGCTGTCGTGGATTATAAAACTTTTAAGTAACATGAATTCATTATTCTTCTGGCTATGAAATATTGCACAGTTGGAAGCAGTTTTAACCTCAGCGAAGACACATGCATTAATCTCTCAAAGGAAGCGTAAGTCATATAAAATAAACTCGCTATGTACCATGATGGTAGATATGTTACAGTATAATGGAGAGACAAGGTGGGTAAGGTAATATTTTTTATTGGACCAACTTCTTTTGTTAAAAGACAAACACTTTCAAGTTTTCACAGAGCACTTCTTCAGGTCTGAGAAAGGTTCTCAGAGGGTCTGTCTACACTGTGATAAAAAACCCGTGGCACTGAGTCTCAGAGCCTGGGTCAGCTGACTCAAGTTCTTGGGGCTCAGGTTGCAGAGCTAAAAATTCCAGAGGCCAACAGCTGTTTCCCTTTGGGCTTGGCTACACTTGCAAGTTACAGTGCATTAAAGGAGCCCCAGGTGCACTAGCTCACTACCCGTCCACACTGGCAGGGCACGTAGAGCGCTCTGGCTCCGCGGCTGGTCTGCTCCTGGTACTCCACCTCAGCGAGTGAAATAACGTTTTGTGCCCCCCCGCAGGAGCACCACGACGCCAGTGTGGACACCCTGGTCTGTTAGTGCGCTCTGATGGACCTCCAAAAGTGTCTTACAATGCCTGTTCTAGCCACTCTGGTCATCACTTTGAACTTTAGTGCCCTGCCTTAAGGTGACCAACCATCAGACCCGCCATTTAAATTCTCTGGGAATTTTGAAAACCCCCTTCCTGTTTGCTCAGCCAGGCATGGAGTGCTCTCAGCGAATCTTTGCAGATGACCATGCCTCCCCGCGCCAGGCGATCCCCAGTATGGAACAATGGCAAGGTGCTGGACCTCATCAGTGTTTAGTGGGAGGAAGCTGTCCAGTCCCAGCTGCACTCCAGCCGTAGGAATTACAATACCTGGGGGCAGATATCAAGGGACATGATGGAAAGGGGCCATGACCGTGGACGCACTGCAGTGCAGGGTTAAAGTGAGGGAGCTGCAGAATGTCTACCACAAAGCCCGCGAGGCAAACAGCTGCTCCGGTGCTGCCCCTGCTACCTGCCTTTTCTGCAAAGAGCTGGAAGCGATACTTGGGGGTAACATCACCTTCACTCCAAATACCACCATGAACACTTCAGAGCCCAGTTCAACAAGGCAGGAGGAACAAAGCGGGAGCGAGGGTGCTGAGGCGGAGGAAGACACTCCAAATACCACTCCAAAACACTTCAGAGCCCAGTTCAACAAGGCAGGAGGAACAAAGCGGGAGCGAGGGTGCTGAGGCGGAGGAAGACACCCCAGAATCCCTAGATGCATGCAGCCAGGAGCTGTTCTCAAGCCAGGAGGAAGGTAGCAAGTCACGGCAGCCGATGCTTGGGGAAGGACAAACACCAGAGGAGGTTTCCAGTAAGCAGCTTTTATTTTGGGAAGGAAGTTATTCGGTGCGGGCTCTTGGGACGAGGCTGGTTAGGGCTGCATGCATGCCTAGATGCGGAATAGGGCGTTGATATGCTCTCTCACATCACGGTAATCGGCCTCAGTGATCTCTTCAAAGGTCTCCTCCAGAACTTGGGCAATGCGCTTGCGTAGGTTTCTTAGGAGAGCCACTGTGGTCCTTGTCCCAATAAGGCTAACTTGTCCGTGCCATTGCGCCGTGAGGGGTGGGGGGACCATTGCTGCACACAGGCAAGCTGCATATGGGCCAGGGTGGAAGCCACATTGTAGTAGAAGACCCTCCCTTGCTTCCCAGGTCACCCTCAGCAGCGAGATATCTTCTAGGACGAACTCCTGTGGAAAATGTGGGGACAGTGTTCAGTATAGGGGCCCCCTGCCACTGTTGGCTCTCCCCAAGGACAGAAACCCAGAGGACAGTACAGCCATGAAACAATCCATCATGCTTGAACCTGTGCTTACTCACCATTTTGGGGCTCCCGTGGGTTATGTGTGCTTGCTTTGGGACGGGCAAAATTATGCTATGGTGTAGACTGTGCTTGCCCTTAAGTACAGGGGAATCATTGCTCTGCCTGATGTGAACAATGCTGCATCTGTTAAGTGTTGCATTTTGCCCTTACAGATGCAACCTTGAGATCTCAGCCGTCCATGTTATCATCGGCCGAAAGACTCCAAAGAATTAGAATGAAGCCACGTAGAAGCAAGGAAGACATGTTGCATGAAGTAATGCAGCATTCAAGTAATGAAAATCAAAAAGTGCAGGAGTGGCAGGACAGTAAAAGGAGGATCTGCCAGCAGAATGAGGAGCACCGGCACAAAATCGCGGGGCTCTGGCAACAAAGCATGGATCGGCTGATAAGCATAATGGAGTGACAAGCGGACTCTATCCAGGCACTCGAAGCCATGCAGGCGGAGCAGTACTTCAGCCCTTGTCCCAAAACTCTTTCCCTTGTGCCCCCATGTCACCTCCAACCCACTTTCCCCAACATCCAGATTCTTACCACCTCCAGCTGCCTCCAACACCTGTAGCTTCACCACCCAGCCCTGAAAACTATGACCCTTACCCACTGCACTCAACCCCCATCACCATGCAGCATAACCATCCTGAAGTGCAGCACTCATTGCACAGCACTTCAGACAGGAAGGCTGAGTATGATAACAGGACATACACAAATCTGTGATTGTACCATTCCCCACCCAACCCCCTTGCCCTTTCTGTTTCCCAAGCAGTTGTGTTTCTTTTCAATAAATGCATTTTCTTCTCAATAAGTGGATTTTTTGGCTTTATTATTCTTATAAAACATTCTTTATTATTGCATAAAGTAAAAGATACCTTAGCCCAGGAAAGAAACAGGCACTGCAAGTCAGTGTAGCAAACACAGATTCCTACTAACATTGGAACCACTGCACTTCACTCCTATGCAGGACACCAGACATTACTGGTGGCTTTCAGCCTCAAATTGCTCCCTCAAGGCATCCCTAATCCTTGCAGCCCCACTCTGGGCCCCTCTAATATCCCTGCTCTCTGGCTGTTCAAATTCAGCCTCCAGGTGTTGAACCTCCGAGTTCCATGCCTGAGTGAATCGTTCAACCTTCCCTTCACAAATGTTATGGAGGGTACAGCACACGGATATAACCACGGGGATGCTGTCATCCGCCAGGTCCAGCTTCCCATACAGAGAGCACCAGCGGCCCTTTAAACAGCCAAAAGCACACTCCACAGTCATTCTGCACTGGCTCAGCCTGTTGTTGAACCACTCCTTGCTGCTGTTGAGGCTCCCTGTGTTGGGTTTCATGAGACAGGCATTAAAGGGTAAGCGGAGACTCTAAGGATCACAAAGGGCATTTCGACTTCCCCTACGGTGCTCTTCTGGTCTTGGAAAAAAGTCCCAGCTTGCAGCTTCCTGAACAGGCCAGTGTTCCGAAAGATGCATGTGTCATGCCCCTTTCCAGGCCAGCCTGCGTTAATGTCAATGAAATGCCCATGGTGATCCACAAGTGCCTGGAGAACCATAGAGAAATACCCCTTCCGATTAACATACTCAGAGGCTAGGTAGGCTGGTGCCAGAATTGGAATATGTGCGCCATCTATCGCCCCTCCGCAGTTAGGGAAACCCATTTATGCAAAGCCATCCACAATTTCGTGCACGTTACCCAGAGTCACGGTTCTTCTGAGCAGGATGTGATTAATGGCCCTGCAAACTTGCATCAACACAATTCCAACGGTCAACTTCCCCACTCCAAACTGGTTAGCGACTGATAGATAGTTGTCTGGAGTTGCCAGCTTCCAGATTGCAATAGCCACCTGCTTCTCCACCATCAGGGCAGTTCTCAATCTCCTGTCCTTGCGCCGCGGGGTGGGGGCGAGCTCCTCACACAGTCCCATGAAAGTGGCTTTTCTCATCCGAAAGTTCTGCAGCCACTGCTCGTCATCCCAGATTTGCATGATGATGTGATCCCACCACTCAGTGCTTGTTTCCCGAGCCCAAAAGCAGTGTTCCATGGTGGTGAGCTTGTCTGTGAATGCCACAAGCAAACTCGTGTCATATGCATTATTCGAGTCGATATCATTGTCGGAGCCCTCACTGTCACTTTGGATCACAAGGAATAACTCGACTGCCAAACGTGACGTGCTGTCGAGACTCGTCAGCATACGCCTCAGAGGTTCAGGCTCCATTCCCGCAGACTGAAAGGGAAGAAAGCGCGCGCAGTACAAAAAACGTTGAAAGATGGCACCAAATGTGGACGGAAGCAGAGGGATTGCTGGGATGTGAACCGATGCATCATGAGACGTTGGGACAAGACCCAGAATGCCCTGCACCTCCCACCCCTTCCCACAAGCCACAGCGCCAGAATGGGAAGAGGTGCTCTGTGGGATAGCTGCCCATAATGCACCGCTCCCAATGCTGCTGCATATGCTACAAATGTGGCCACGCCAGTGCGTTTGCAGCTGTCAGTGTGGACAGACTGCAGCACTTTCCCTACTGCGCTCTCCGAAGGCGGGTTTAACTCAAAGCGCTCTACATCTGCAAGTGTAGCCATGCCCTTTGTCGTCTTAGGTGCAATGCCAGAGACAGACGGGGAGAGAGGAGGTGCCCTGGGGTGGTTGTCCCTCCTTTTATAATTTCAGTCACCCTCTTGAAAAATGCGTCCATGCTGTTTCTTTGCTAAGATGTAGATATTTGTCCCTGCCCCCTTCCTTGCCAAAGAATGGTCACTTAGCTGGTAATGTTCCATCAGTCTTGTTGACATCTGATTGAGGCATCAGCTTGCCCTTTGTCTCTGAGGGTAGGTGACTACCCAGACTTATCTAGGAAACATATTTCAGTCATGATTTTAGCTTATGTTCATAGCTTTGCATATAAAGTTACTAGGTGCATTTTTTCATGATTTTATAGATCAGCAAGTTAAGAGTTTTTAAATGATACCTCACAAGGCATACCTTGTACAAACATTATTACAATAGGATGTAGGGTGTGAACACAGGGTATATTCTGTCACAATCCCCTCAGCAGCTTCTACTGGTAGGAATCCTCTTGAAGAGCTGGCACAGATTAAAGTTACCTTCCCTCAGTGGAAACCCCAAAGGGAGGTCAGTTGACTAAATCCCTGCTTGAACTCAGTGGTCTGCATAAGTGTAAAGAGGTGCATTTTGCACCTTCCTGCACCAGAAAGAGTGAACTGGTGCTATGGTCTTCCCTCTGTCTAGATGAATGTTTGACTGTGGGTACCAAGCCAAAATCCTTGCTGTTCCAGGGAGGCATGTTTTATACTTTGGAAGACTGTAGTACCACACGAAGTATGGGCCCTTCACATAAATTCTTACTTGACAGTCACCATGGGTAAATCCAGAGGATGTCAGCAGACTCCCTGCCAAATTGTTGACTGACTTGGCAATGTGAAATAAAAGGGTGCCAGTGTTTCATCAGACCATGACTCATTTATGATCCATTTGCATCCTGAATAATCAATGCTACTTGGCATCTGCTGGCAGGTTCTCTCTACCCAACCAGTATGCGCATCAGTGAAGAAGGGCGTTTGGTTGTCAACTTCAAGACTGAAGCCCGATTTCATGGTTTATTTGTGATGTCTCATCCTGGTAAGTCAATTCTGAGATCTGATAATATCTCATAGTTGTGAGTTTTATACTGTTTATTATCTTATTCCTACTACTAAAATCTGGATCTTTTTAATGTGCTGCGCTCAGCAGCAGGGGCTTTATTCTATGGCAGTGGTTTTCAACCTTTTTTTCATTTGCAGACGCCTAAAAAATTTTGAATGGAGGTGCTGACCCCTTTGGAAAACTTAGGCATTGACTGTGGACCCCTAGGGGTCCATGGACCACAGGTTGAAGACCATTGCTTTACGCTCATAAATTCATAATGTGTAACGAATTTCAAATACATCATGCCACATCCATGGCTGGTGTAAACTGGAGTAGCTCCATTTATTTGAGCACAGCTATGTTGACTTATACCAGATGAGGATCTGACCATCATATCTACCTTTCCAAGAGTAGAAAAGAGTGTGTGAACCATATCTTGCTGTTAATAAAATGCTCACTGGCATGTAATGATATCCAAGGCCTTGATCCTGCAATCTGATCCATGCAGGTTGATCCTTGTGCCCCATTCACTTCAGTTAGACCAAATGCAGGAGTGTGGTTCCAGCTGCCCAGATAGATTGTAGGGCTGGGGCCTAAGTGTACTTCTGGACATGAATGCTGGAGGTGAACAGGAATATCTGCATAAATTAAACTCTCCAAACAAGATCATTTACAATAGTGCGTTGAAGAAAAAAAGCATCATTAATCATATTATTTTAGTTTAACCAAGTTTCGTCAACCAAAACAGCTCCTTCATAGCAATTCCACTCTTTCTTTACTTTTAAAATACGTTTTGCATTTTACCTGCAAGGCAGAGCTGAAAAAGTTACAATGCACTAGAAATTGTTTTACGTTCCCTGGGTTGGCATCCCAGGTTAAAAATAGGAGGGATTATAGATCTTTACCATTCCACTCTCCCCGGTTTGCCTTTCTGTTAAATTTAATCTTTATACAGCTTTGGTTGCATAGCCCCATAAGAGATTGTTTAACAGATGTTTGAACAAGAGTCCACCAGGCTCAGCTGTGTTGACTATAATTGGTTTTGTTAATTTCAGTTAATAAAACCAATGCACTGTAAATGTATTGGCATCAGCCATCATATTGTGGCTTCTGAATCGCTGGGAATGCTTTTCAGGTTCTGAGAATCTGCAGCTAGACATTTAAACTGACAAGCTTGTCTGTTGACATCTTTCTAGCCTCCACTCTGAGCTCCATGGTTATGTCAGCTGATCACCCAGGCCTGACATTTAGCCTCAGCCTTGTGCGGACTGAACCAACATACAACCAACCAATACAGCAATGGAGCTTTGTTTCAGATTTTGCGGTAAAACCACAGCTTTCCCTTCCTTGGTTTGCTCTGTCCCGGTTCTGAAATATGTTAGTCAAGTGCCATGTCTCTCCTTTGCTTTTACCAGGTCCGAGACTATTCTGGGACATACACCGTGAAGCTGATAGCTTGTACCACGGTGCCTCACCAGGAGTACAGTGTACCAGTGATCTGTAGTCCTAGAGAGCCAATCACATTTGACCTCGATATCCGATTCCAACAGGTACCATCAAGAATTTTTTTGCATGGTTTTTATTTCAATTCTAAAAATGTCTTTGGTAGTCATGAAGGATGCTGGATTGACAGTCCTGGAGGCTGGAGTCCTTTCCTTCGCCACAGAACAGGTACAGAATGGGCAATGACAGTGCAAATTACTTGCGCTACCCCCACCAGGGTGACTCAGCCTTGACCTGGAGGGACTACTGAAGGAGTGAGAGTGTGTCACAGGGCTTGTCTTCACTACCGGGGTAAGCCAACCTAAGTTATGCTACTCCAGCTACGTGAATAACGTAGCTGGAGTCAACGTAGCTTAGGTCAACATATCCCAGTGTCTTCACTGCACTGTGTCAACTGGAGACACTCTCCATCGACTTCCCTTACTTTTCTCAGAGAGCTGGAGTACCGGAGTCAACCAGAGAGCGCTCTGCCATCGATTTAGTGGGTCTTCATTAGACCCGATAAATTGACACCTGCTCATCGATTGCAGCAGCGTCAATCTCCCCGGTAGTGAAGACCAGCCCTTAGCCTCAAGACTCAGGTGATCTTTGGCCACTCTGCTGTGACAGCTAATAGAGTGTTAGTTGTTGCCAGTTTTGGTCGTGGCTTTTGTGGTGTATAACTATCCACTGGAGACTGGACTGAGATCCCAAAACTGTATCATCGTCATGATAGGCACCAGTATAGGAACACAGATACATAGACAGATAATATTTAGCACTGATACCTAAAATTTTTAAGTGGCTCTGCAAAGGTGGGTGAGCATTATTATCCCCATTTTACAGATGAAGAAACAAAAGGTGACGGTGAAGGGCCAGATTGTAATAACACCTTGTTCCAAGAATAGTCCCACTTAAGTCAATGAGTACAGGTATCACAGTGTGGGCTTTAGGGTTTGTCTACATGGCAACACAGTCTGGTCTACGGGAGTGTAAACTGTAGAGCGCTCTCACATATCGTGCTCTAACTGCCCCATGTAGACCCTCTACCTAGCGTGTGTTAACGAAGTCCTGTTTGAAATAGGACTCTACTTTTGAGTTTGCACCAGCAGGGTCTCTATGGGGCAGTTAGAGCATAACATATGAGAGTGCTTTACAGTTCACACATGTAGACCAGTCTGTGGCACCATGTAGGCAAGCCCTAAGTCACTTGTCTGAAGGTCCAAGTGAATCAGAGGTGAAAATGGTAATAGAACTTGTCTCTCCTGACTCCCTGTCTAGTGCCCTATCTACTGGACTATACAACCTTGCCTGTTTGTTTTTTCAGTTTTTTAAAATAGAATAATATGATGCATATTTTTATGTTGTCCCTCTTAGGAATTGTTTGCACCATGAATGAATGAGGGGCTCTTTTTAAAAGCAAGTATCAAGTAGGAAGGATGCTTATATTCTGGGTGTCTCCCATTCTAATACTTTGTTTTTACATTTCCTTCTTGAAGCTTTTTGTGTCCTTCTTTTTTTCTCTCCCTGGGAAAGCACTGTCCTCATGGTATTTCTACAAGACACAGTGTAACTTCATGGCTAGTGGCAACTCTGCTACCCAAAGCCCAGCCTCAGTATCTTGGGGACCAGGAAGAAAGAATCCTAGTACCCTTGTAAACAGCACCCTACTACCCAAGTAGGGAAAGGATTGTTTGCACAAAGCAGGAGATTTCTTCCTTTTTTTCCGTTCCCTACTCTTCCCTCTCTCACCTTTAAATGCCTTCTGCACACTTCCTTCAGAGAGGAATTGGGATCCATGCTGCACTGGGGTGTACAACCCATTCACAACCTCCCCAAATCCTTCCCCTTCTTTGTGCAGCAGAGATCACAGTGGCTTTCCTACAGGAGGTCCTCTGGACCCACTGATGTGCCCTTTAGTGAATTCCCACAATGTTCTTCATCCATACACAAATCAGGCCATCTGCAGTGATGATAGTTAAATATTGGTGTGAATGTCAAAGATTAAAAACGTGTTTCCGTCATGAAAATAATTGTATGCTTAAAGTACGGCTGTAACAGCCACGAGTTAATCAGTAAAAAGAAAAGGAGTACTTGTGGCACCTTAGAGACTAACCAAGTTATTTGAGCATGAGCTTTCGTGAGCTACAGCTCACTTCATCGGATGCATACTGTGGAAACTGCAGCAGACTTTATATATACACAGAGAATATGAAACAATACCTCCTCCCACCCCACTGTCCTGCTGGTAATAGCTTATCTAAAGTGATCATCAGGTGGGCCATTTCCAGCACAAATCCAGGTTTTCTCACCCTCCATCCCACCACACAAATTCACTCTCCTGCTGGTGCTAGCCCATCCAAAGTGACAACTATTTACATAATCAAGTCGGGCTATTTCCTGCACAAATCCAGGTTTTCTCACATCCCCCCCACCCCCATACACACACAAACTCACTCTCCTGCTGGTAATAGCTCATCCAAACTGACCACTCTCCAAGTTTAAATCCAAGTTAAACCAGAACATCTGGGGGGGGCGGGTAGGAAAAAACAAGAGGAAACAGGCTACCTTGCATAATGACTTAGCCACTCCCAGTCTCTATTTAAGCCTAAATTAATAGTATCCAATTTGCAAATGAATTCCAATTCAGCAGTTTCTCGCTGGAGTCTGGATTTGAAGTCTTTTTGTTGTAAGATAGTGACCTTCATGTCTGTGATTGCGTGACCAGAGAGATTGAAGTGTTCTCCGACTGGTTTATGAATGTTATAATTCTTGACATCTGATTTGTGTCCATTTATTCTTTTACGTAGAGACTGTCCAGTTTGACCAATGTACATGGCAGAGGGGCATTGCTGGCACATGATGGCATATATCACATTGGCGGATGTGCAGGTGAACGAGCCTCTGATAGTGTGGCTGATGTTATTAGGCCCTGTGATGGTGTCCCCTGAATAGATATGTGGGCACAATTGGCAACGGGCTTTGTTGCAAGGATAAGTTCCTGGGTTAGTGGTTCTGTTGTGTGGTATGTGGTTGTTGGTGAGTATTTGCTTCAGGTTGCGGGGCTGTCTGTAGGCAAGGACTGGCCTGTCTCCCAAGACTTGTGAGAGTGTTGGGTCATCCTTTAGGATAGGTTGTAGATCCTTAATAATGCGTTGGAGGGGTTTTAGTTGGGGGCTGAAGGTGACCGCTAGTGGCGTTCTGTTATTTTCTTTGTTAGGCCTGTCCTGTAGTAGGTAACTTCTGGGAACTCTTCTGGCTCTATCAATCTGTTTCTTTACTTCTGCAGGTGGGTATTGTAGTTGTAAGAAAGCTTGACAGAGATCTTGTAGGTGTTTGTCTCTGTCTGAGGGGTTGGAGCAAATGCGGTTGTATCGCAGAGCTTGGCTGTAGACGATGGATCGTGTGGTGTGGTCAGGGTGAAAGCTGGAGGCATGCAGGTAGGAATAGCGGTCAGTAGGTTTCCGGTATAGGGTGGTGTTTATGTGACCATTGTTTATTAGCACTGTAGTGTCCAGGAAGTGGATCTCTTGTGTGGACTGGACCAGGCTGAGGTTGGTGGTGGGATGGAAATTGTTGAAATCATGGTGGAATTCCTCAAGGGCTTCTTTTCCATGGGTCCAGATGATGAAGATGTCATCAATATAGCGCAAGTAGAGTAGGGGCTTTAGGGGACGAGAGCTGAGGAAGCGTTGTTCTAAATCAGCCATAAAAATGTTGGCATACTGTGGGGCCATGCGGGTACCCATAGCAGTGCCGCTGATCTGAAGGTATACATTGTCCCCAAATGTGAAATGGTTATGGGTAAGGACAAAGTCACAAAGTTCAGCCACCAAGTTAGCCGTGACATTATCGGGGATAGTGTTCTTGACGGCTTGTAGTCCATCTTTGTGTGGAATGTTGGTGTAGAGGGCTTCTACATCCATAGTAGCCAGGATGGTGTTATCAGGAAAATCACCGATGGATTGAAGTTTCCTCAGGAAGTCAGTGGTGTCTCGAAGGTAGCTGGGAGTGCTGGTAGCGTAGGGCCTGAGGAGGGAGTCTACATAGCCAGACAATCCTGCTGTCAGGGTGCCAATACCTGAGACGATGGGGCGCCCAGGATTTCCAGGTTTATGGATCTTGGGTAGTAGATAGAATATCCCAGGTCGGGGTTCCAGGGGTGTGTCTGTGCAGATTTGATCTTGTGCTTTTTCAGGAAGTTTCTTGAGCAAATGCTGTAGTTGCTTTTGGTAACTCTCAGTGGGATCATAGGGTAATGGCTTGTAGAAACTCGTGTTGGAGAGCTGCCGAGCAGCCTCTTGTTCATATTCCGACCTATTCATGATGACGACAGCACCTCCTTTGTCAGCCTTTTTGATTATGATGTCAGAGTTGTTTCTGAGGCTGTGGATGGCATTGCGTTCCGCATGGCTGAGGTTATGGGGCAAGTGATGCTGCTTTTCCACAATTTCAGCCCGTGCATGTCGGCGGAAGCACTCTATGTAGAAATCCAGTCTGCTGTTTCGACCTTCAGGAGGAGTCCATCTAGAATCCCTCTTTCTGTAGTGTTGGTAGGGAGACCTCTGTGGATTAGTATGTTGTTCAGAGGTATTTTGGAAATATTCCTTGAGTCGGAGACGTCGAAAATAGGATTCTAGGTCACCACAGAACTGTATCATGTTCATGGGGGTGGAGGGGCAGAAGGAGAGGCCCCGAGATAGAACAGCTGCTTCTGCTGGGCTGAGAGTATAGTTGGATAGGTTAACAATATTGCTAGGTGGGTTGAGGGAACCATTGCTGTGGCCCCTTGTAGCATGTAGTAGTTTAGAAAGTTTAGTGTCCTTTTTCTTTTGTAGAGAAGCAAAGTGTGCGTTGTAAATGGCTTGTCTAGTTTTAGTAAAAGCCAGCCACGAGGAAGTTTGTGTGGAAGGTTGGTTTTTTATGAGAGTATCCATTTTTGAGAGCTCATTCTTAATCTTTCCCTGTTTGCTGTAGAGGATGTTGATCAGGTGGTTCCGCAGTTTCTTTGAGAGCGTGTGGCACAAGCTGTCAGCATAGTCTGTGTGGTATGTAGATTGTAATGGATGTAATGTAATCAGTGTGTGACAGTGAGATATTCATGTGAAATTGCAAAAAAATGGATAGACTTAAAAGAGGAAGTGTCAGGGGTATATTCACAGCTATACACAGCTATATATAGTGTTAATGGGAACTGCATAACTATATCTTATATAAGATTCAGTTATACAGTTCCCTTGAACGCTACTATAAATTGCCTGGCTAAATTCCAGTGCTACTAGCTGAAAATACACTTCCAGTTTCTTATTCATTAGACATTTACTCTCTCTAAAAGAAAAGTTTGATTCAGCCACTTTTGATTTTCTTTCACATGCTTGTGAAAACAAGCTGGAACCCAGCTGTGTGAATGAGGCATTTGAATTTTGAACCTCTAGGACTTTAGATCCTGTAGCCTGAATCCATGCATTAAAACTGAAAAATTCCAAACAAATCGGATAGGAACTTCTTCTATAAACAGTGTTGTTAGGTTTCATCTCCATGGAGAGTAGCAGTTGGTCTATAAGGAGAGCCTCAGTTGTACATTTTCAGTTGCCAAACCCTGCTGCTTTGATATTTTGGAGTCTGTTCTGTGGAAAAGTGATTTCAAGAGGAATGAGTAGGTCAGCTGCATAAGTTCTAGTGATAGTTTCTAATGGTATTTTTACGACTCACCCCATCAGCCTTACACAAGAGCAAGTGAGAAGGTTGTTCATTTACCTTTTGGAAAAAAAATAGAATTCTCTCTTTTGTTAGTGACTTTAATAGCTCTTGTTTATTTATCTTTTTAAAAACGAAACCTGTGCAACCTCCAAACTGTAGGTGTCCTTGTTCTCCTATTACTGTTGCTCTGGTCTTCTGCCACCCCCTTCCATTGTATTCTATGCCACCTGTCACGTCTTGACCATATTTAGATTGTAAGCTCTGGGAATGTCTTCAGTTTTGTGTTTGTAGAGTACACAATATTGATTGAACTGACCCTGGGTATTACTGTAATATGCATAATTAAAATTGATTTGTATCAAGTATATAAAGGCAAACATAGTAGACACTAATTTTTAATATTAATTAAGAAATGAATAGTGTAAATAACTGACTTTTCATGGTAAATATATTCATATAGGTGAATACACAGACCAGATTAATGACCGCATGTTGAAGAGCTTTATGCTGTATTTTAGGTCAGCGACCCAGTGGCTGCTGAGTTCAGCCTGAATACCCAGATGTTCCTCCTCTCGAAGAAGACTCTCTGGTTATCTGATGGCTCGATGGGATTTGGGCAGGAGAGTGATGTTGCTTTCACAGAAGGTAAAATGGTACATAGATGATGGCTAATTTATGTGACATCCCTTTACTATGTTCCGCTCTATCAGCATTTTCTTTCAATCAGAACAAACTGCCACCACGTGGTCTTTCGGCTTTTGCCAAGCCTAAATTGGAATTGATCATATTCTGGTCTCCGAGGAACAGCCGTGTTAGTCTGTATTCGCAAAAAGAAAAGGAGTACTTGTGGCACCTTAGAGACTAACCAATTTATTTGAGCATGAGCTTTCGTGAGCTACAGCTCACTTCATCAGATGTATACCGTGGAAACTGCAGCAGACTTTATATACACACACAGAATATGAAACAATACCTCCTCCCACCCCACTGTCCTGCTGGTAATAGCTTATCTAAAGTGATCAACAGGTGGGCCATTTCCAGCACAAATCCAGGTTTTCTCACCCTCCACCCCCCCACACAAATTCACTCTCCTGCTGGTGCTAGCCCATCCAAAGTGACAACTCTTTACATAATCAAGTCGGGCTATTTCCTGCATAGATCCAGGTTTTCTCACATCCCCCCCACCCCCATACACACACAAACTCACTCTCCTGCTGGTAATAGCTCATCTAAACTGACCACTCTCCAAGTTTAAATCCAAGTTAAACCAGAACATCTGGGGGGGGCGGGTAGGAAAAAACAAGAGGAAACAGGCTACCTTGCATAATGACTTAGCCACTCCCAGTCTCTATTTAAGCCTAAATTAATAGTATCCAATTTGCAAATGAATTCCAATTCAGCAGTTTCTCGCTGGAGTCTGGATTTGAAGTTTTTTTGTTGTAAGATAGCGACCTTCATGTCTGTGATTGCGTGACCAGAGAGATTGAAGTGTTCTCCGACTGGTTAGACCTGTTCAGCTCATTGCTCACTTCTCAGAACAGCAATAATAAAAATAGCAGTTTCATATTCTAAATACTTTACAAACATTGCTGATTCTCTAACAACATCCCTAAAAGCTAAGGGTAACTGCCCCTGTATCCCTCCCACCTCTGTGGTCCGCTCTAGGAGTGCCCAGACAAGTATCTTGTCTCCAGTCATCACCTATCTCTGGGCACAAGCCCTTGTCTTCTTCCTTCTGACAGGGAAGTTTTAAGGCTGCTCAGTTCCCTGCCTTACACTGGAATATCCCCAGCAAGCCAGTCTGCGTAATGGCCAGCTCCTGTGGTTTGGCTACAAACAATGTATTGCCAGCAGTTACAGGTTACCACACAGTTCTGTCTAAGCAAACATGTTTATTCTTAAGACAAAAGTATTACAGAGAAACCATATAAAAACCATAAGCATATTTAAACACCCACTAAATATACCAGGAGTCACCAGTCAGTCTTGTGGAGCCATAGGCGGCTAACTCTTCCTCATGGGTTGAGACCCCCCCTTGGACAGAAGGTCCTGTCCAATTGCTGGATCAGAAAGAGAAAGCCCCAAGTCCGTCTAAATTCAGCCTTTTTATGCCAGAAGCCCTTTCTATGTCTGTTGGTCTCTGGAAAACCCAGTTTGAAGCAGTATATGCAAGCTTCTCCAGGGAGTGGTACCTCTCTAGAGGTGTTTACAACCTAAGGGATTCACCTTAATGACCACCCATTGTTTCTGATTCCTGGAGGAGCTGAGGTAACCCTTCCCCATGGCACTACATACAATCCCTGGCCCAGAGTGACACACAGAGTTAATACAATATGGTCCCCTGAAGATAGTGCATGGGATGCCAATATCTGGCACGTAGATCCTCTTTGTACAGATGGGGAAAACAAGGCAGATTAATTGATTTGTCCTCTCAATGGAAATCAAAGTCAAAACTGAGATTAGATCCCAGGAATTCCTGCTTTCAAGGTCTAAGCTCACACCCCAAGGAGGGGAAGCCAGATCCAGCGAATAGAGCTCTGGACTGGGACTTTGGAGACCAGGGGTCTATCCATGTCTCTGCCACTGATCTGCTGTGTACCCTTGGCAAATCACCCAGCCTGTGTCTGTCTTGGCTATTTAGAATGTAAGCTGTTCAGGATAAGGATTGTCTCTTACTATGTGGTTGTACAGTACCTGGCATAATGGGACGTAAGTCTCTGTCAAAACCTTTAGGTGCTTCTGTAATACACATAATAAATAACAAGCCATATATCTCTCTCAAGACAAATTCACATTGTCCTATTCACTCTGATGTTTGTTTTACTCTTGGCCATGGACTACCATGGTCTGCTACTGGCCGTGCTCTTTTGTTGCATATTTTTTGACAACCCACAAGTCTTTTATGGGTTTAGCAAGCAAAACCTGCCTTAAATTTTGGCAGGCAGCAGAAAGTCTTAAAAACTCCATATGTCTCTCTTCAGTTTTGGCAAAGTTAGGTGTGAACAGATTTAATCAAGTGTTAAGAGGCCAGAGTTGGGGAAAAAAAGCCACTCTGGAAATAGAGGAATGATTTCCCATAGAGTAGATGTCATTTTCACTGTGCCAAGTACTGCCCATCTGACTAAGTATTAGCAAGTTCTTACGCCCTATGGCCAAGGTCCTGCTGACATAGAAGAAGGTATCTTGCTATTCCAAACACATTTTTAGAAGACAAAAGGCTGCAGTCCAAGATGGGATGGGGGGAGGACAAAAGTGGCTCTGTATACCTTTACTCCTTGTGAATTATGGGTCCAGCAGCACCCAACTCAATTTTTGAGCCACCCTAGTGACTGCTTTAAGTTATAGCAGCCTTGAATGGCCACTTATGGGCTACTCTGCCGGCCCAGAATAGATGGAGCGCAGTGCATTCTAGCCATGCCTCTTCCTGCCCCTCAGGCAAACCCCTAAGCAGGAAGGTATTGTAGGACTACACCAGCCATGGAGTGCAACCCATTCCCTACTGCCAGCAAGATTCCTGGTGGGAAAATCCAGCTGGGTTCCAGGTCATTTATGTTGCTAGAGCAGCGTAAAGGGACTGGAGCACAACTCAGAATTGAGGCCAATTTGTTAAAAGGAGCATGCTTGTTGAACATGTGTCTGGCCACCATCAGCTCATCTGACGTTCTTGGATACTTGCTTTACAGAACGATATATTGTATTTGAAACAATGATTGTTTTCAGGTGATATTATATATGGTCGTGTGATGGTGGATCCAGTACAGAACCTGGGTGATTCCTTTTACTGTAGCATTGAGAAGGTTTTCCTGTGCACCGGAGCGGATGGATATGTACCCAAGTATAGTCCACCAAATGCAGAATATGGCTGTCTAGCTGATTCTCCATCCCTCTTATATAGATTTAAGATTGTGGTAAGTGTTCTGCGTTTAATCAAAAACATGTGTAATTTTTTTTCCAGATTTTCAACACCATTTGTTGTTTTGAGCCTGCTGCAGGCAAGGGTCTCTTAAGAACATACCTAGCAGCTTCCATCAAGTTTTTGACTTCAGTTCTAGTCTAGTGCAGCTTGGTTAGGGCATAATATTGTTATCCAGGACCTTCATGGGCTGGTTACAATCGGGATAGTCCTGCCAGGGACTCTCATCACTTGTGGCATATCTTACAGTGTGACTTGTCAAGATAATAGTATGACATGTTGCTTGTATAGTCTCATATGTTTAAGCTTGGAAGGATTAGATTTTTATCAGTAAAAGTTGGTGAACAGTGATTTCACTGTACACACACAAACCACAAACATACTTCCATTGATAATAATTAAAGTTTATAGATGGGCAAAGTAAACAAAATGCTGTTTGAGAACTTATTAGAGTTTGATTTAAGGATATTTACTTAATGTATTTTGACATGTGATGTTGACAATTTGGGTTTAAAGCTTTAACTTTTTGAATCTCAACATCTACTGTCATTAAATGATTGTCTGATGCCAATATTGTCTGACCTGCCCCATAATTTCCCACACCTGTGAAAATTTAAATAAATAATTTAAAAAATGCTTAAAAATAAACATCTATATTTTCCATCAAAATTATTTAAAAAAGCATGGAAATCTGCCAAGCCTACATATATTATATGGTTCAAAACAGGAAAACCCACACAAGAAGTGCTAGTCAGATGTAATCACAATGTTGCTGAAGAGCACTTTTTCCCCTTAGGAATGCACCAGATAACGTAAAATAGTATGTGGTGATTATGTTCCTGGGAAAGTTGCATTTACATGTAAATATAAAAACCTCTTTCTTTGCGGAAGTGAATGTGTGAATGTACAATGTACAAACAGAATTATTTTTCCCTTTCACCATTTAGGACAAAGCTCAGCCAGAGACACAAGCCACAAGCTTTGGAAATGTGCTTTTTAATGCAAGACTAGCCATAGATGATCCTGAGGCAATTCCTTTAGTCAAGCAACCTGGCTCGGATGGATTTAAAGTAGACTCAACACCACTGTTTCAGGTGAGCAGTCTATGGGTCAACCTCAAGAATACTGTTCTAAGAATCTCAAATAGAGTCAGGCATCATATAGGGAAATACTTGATTATAAGAATAATGAACTTGAGGATGTGTACACTGGAATAAGGACACCAACACTGGTGTGAATCTGGAGTCACTCCATTTGAAGTCAGTGAATTTGCATAGGTGTAAACCAGTATAAGTGAAAGCAGGACCCAGAATATTCATGGAGTTTGAACTAATCCCCTGCAGCTCTCTGTCTTATTTTTGTGGGATTTCCCCTTGTTTTTTGCCCTTTCCAGTTTCTTGAGGCTACATCCCAGGTCATTAATGTACCAAGCTGTTGTACATACGTACATGGCAAAGTTTAAAATTATTTGTAAATGATGATAAAGTGACCTGCTTTTGACTCCAGTCCTGGATTGGGAGGTAGAAAGGTAGGGGTGGGGGAAATCTAGAGAGGAAAAGTTCAGGATGAGTGATGATAAGGAGAACAGTGAACTAGGATTGGCATGGAGTTGTGCTAACTGCTCTTGGAATTGACGTCTCAGAGAGAGATGAAGTGGGGGAACTTGGAAGGGGCACACAGGGCAGGGGAATTCTTATCCCGGTAAACTTTAAGGGCTTGATGCAGCTCCTATTGAAGTCAATGGAAAGATTCCCACTGACTTCAACAGGAGTTGGTTAAGGCCTTAAATGCACCTCATAAGACTTTTCAGAGAAGGGCTCTTCTCCTCTGGACTTTATACACCAACCCAACATAAATGTTTTCATGGTCAGTAAAAAAAAAAAAAACCTGGCAAAATCAAACAAATGCTTCCTGAGTTAAGGTTGAAAGTACATTTCAGCAGAGTCCAGCTAACGAAAGTTACCAAAACAGTATCACTTTCTGTACAACCGTTCTACACCGTCCAAAGCACAAAACGTCTAGAACATCTAGAAGTGAGCAGGTAAGGGACCAACTACTTCCTCAGTGCCATATCTTTCATTCGTGCTCAGCCTCTTGATTTATGCATCCCATACAAATTTTACTTTTCCCCTGTAACATTTGCAAAAACAGATGTGAAGGTCAAAATAACCAAGTAGAAGAAACAATAGGGAGTCCTTACTCTGACTATTGAACATTTTAAGCGCATGTGGAGTCCCATTAAAACCAGTGGGATTGTTTGAATGAGTAACGGCTCATCCATGTAAGTAAGGGTTTCACAATTTGGCGCACAGAGATCGTAAAATCCCATTTGCTATTTAAGGGTTCTGTTTCCAGTAGTAATCTAGTCATTTGTTCTGCCCTCTTAGACTGACAACAGAATGAGAGTGGCAAGAGACAATGGTAGGTAGGTATACAGAAGGCAATGGGGGGATAAAAGTAAATTATAGGAAGGTAATGCCGACATGGCGGTAAACATAGTTTATTAAAACTAGATATGGACTAGCCATGAAATGCCCTAGAGAGACAAGGTGGGTGAGGTAGTGTCTTTTATTAGACCGACTTCTGTTGGTGAAAGAGACGAGTTTTCAAACTACACGAGCTCTTCTTCAGGTCTGAAAAGACTTGTCTCTTTCACCAACAGAAGTTGGTTCAATAAAAGTTCACCCACTTTGTCTCTCTAATATCCTGGGACCAACATGGCTACAACAACGCTGCGAACATGAAATGGCCTATTCATTGCATGCCCTCTTTTTGATGAGCTGGTGCAAATACAAGGCCAGACTGTGTCTCACCTCTGGTTGGGCATGCATAGTGGGCAGAATGTGCAATGATTCTTTCTCTTTTGGAGTACAGCCAAAGCTGTAGTCCTTGCACAAGGACTCTGTGAGGCCAATGACACAACGCCACCAATAAAGGCCAGGGAGGAGATGGCCTATGCTCCTCCATCTGCACCAGGCAGCAATGGAGGCTGGCTATGGAGGGACTCAGGCTCCACACCCTGTGTGTAGTGGATGGCATGATTGCCAATTCCTGCTGGGGTGCTGGGCAGATTGACATGTGGCATATTCTTTCTGAGCATGGCTTCAGGAGTGCAGTCCGGGCATTTCAGGATCAGATGATGAAACAGCTTGCAATTTACTTCTCAGTTTGTATTGGTGTTTAACCACATCATCGAGGTGGGTAATGTTGAACAAAATGTTGTGTTTTCTAGGTGTCTTTGGGTAGAGAGTGGTACGTACATACAATCTACACTGTGAGATCAAAAGAAAGTGCCAATCGAGGTATTGGCAAAAGAAGTGTGGAGTACCAATATCACTCTTTGGTCAGTGGTGGGAATCCAGGAACTTCAATGCAGATACGACAGAAGAGAGGGGTCAAAGAAGCTCCAGAGCTTGCTAAAGAAATTGGCATAGAAAACAGCAGAGGAACTAACATTCAGCACATAGCTTTGGATCGCACCAACAAGAAACAGATCCCACAAAGAGAAGTTACAGTCAATGGAATTCTCCCCAGGGAGCTGAATAACAGAAACCCAGAGGTCAACATAATCACCATCACTGGTGGAGCTGCTGCCGTTTTACTTGCCATTGGTTTAATTGCAATTATTATTTTGTTTTTCAAGCATAAACAGAGCTCAGAGAAGAAAGAAGTCACAAAGGGTTCAGAGAGCAGTGAGCCAATGATGCCACCACATAATTACACTACTGACAGCTCTGAGGTTTGATTCCAAGACCATGGGATTTGAACCTGTCTCCAGAGTGCCTTAAAGATAAACTTGAACTGCTCCTTGTTAGCAGACGGTCACCATTATGCTTGGAAATGAAAAGGATCGTATGGCTCTAACTGTACTTGAAAATACTGATTTGAGCTCTTGCTACCATTCTCAAACATAAAGGAAGAATCCAACCCAAACCTCCTGTTTTGCACAGTAGGCAACCCTGATGTCCGTACATCATGCGCTAACAATAAGCTGCAGTGAAAGAAACTGCATCGCAAGGGAGTGATTTTTTGTTTTGTTTTTGTGTTTTCTGTCAATTAAAAAGAGAAGAAATTATCCAAAGGTGCTTGTGGGCCCCTCTCGGCAATACAAAAGGAAGTCTCTTATTACTATACTCTTGTCTACTTGGGAGGTGCAATGCTGACACTCTCTGAATGTTTCTCAGAAAGAACTTCCTTGTTGTTGTTAGTCTGTAGAGTGTGAAAATCCCCTGGCCTGATTCATCCCAGTTAGAAGTCCTTCGGCTTCAGTTAAGTTACACCACTGATGAATTGTATCGCTTGCGTTTAACTGACATTTCTTCCAAAGACCATTAGATTAGTCACAACAGAGTTATAAGCAGGCACATATGCCAGGGTACATTACACATTCTTCACTGGCAGAGACTGGGAACTCACAATCAGCTATTTGTTCTGACTTTTTTTTCTTGTTCTGTTTTTTTCCTTATTTACGTTTATATAAAGCCAAAGAATATGATAATGTCCAAAAGGAAGCTTGATTTTTACAAACGCTGGACAGTTGTGTCCTCTTATGCTTATAATGGATTATAAAAGTATTTGTACAGTATTGTATTTGTCAGTGCACATCCAATGGTGGGAAATGCATGAGTTGGTAACATTGCAGAGTCTAGAGGAAGGATAGTGTTAGATTCAAAATGCAGAAGACAAGGTTCTGTCCGAACTGAGGCTATGAGTTGTGATGTAGAATTCAGTGCTTACTAGGCAGTTACCACATTACAAGTGGCAACAATGGGAAGAAAATACAAACATTTTATGGGAGCAAGTCATATTTATTAAGTTGATGCATAATCATTGTGCCTCTTGAGAAACATGCTGTTTTATGAGTAACTTTACTTTTGAAAGAATAATTTTGGTTTTCTCTGTCTTTTTGGTTAAGGTAATATGACAGCAGCATGATCTGCAGAAGACTGGATCAGTGGTGCTTCATTACAGTGTTTATCCAGTTAGGGCCTGATCCACCCAAAAGGTGTCTCTGCAGCTGCTGGCCCACAGAATCATAGACTATCAGGGTTGGAAGGGACCCCTGAAGGTCATCTAGTCCAACCCCCTGCTCGAAGCAGGACCAATTCCCAGTTAAATCATCCCAGCCAGGGCTTTGTCAAGTCTGACCTTAAAAACCTCTAAGGAAGGAGATTCTACCACCTCCCTAGGTAACGCATTCCAGTGTTTCACCACCCTCTTAGTGAAAAAGTTTTTCCTAATATCCAATCTAAACCTCCCCACTGCAACTTGAGACCATTACTCCTCGTTCTGTCATCTGCTACCATTGAGAACAGTCTAGAGCCATCCTCTTTGGAACCCCCTTTCAGGTAGTTGAAAGCAGCTATCAAATCCCCCCTCATTCTTCTCTTCTGCAGGCTAAACAATCCCAGCTCCCTCAGCCTCTCCTCATAAGTCATGTGTTCTAGACCCCTAATCATTTTTGTTGCCCTTCGCTGGACTCTCTCCAATTTATCCACATCCTTCTTGTAGTGTGGGGCCCAAAACTGGACACAGTACTCCAGATGAGGCCTCACCAATGTTGAATAGAGGGGAACGATCACGTCCCTCGATCTGCTCGCTATGCCCCTACTTATACATCCCAAAATGCCATTGGCCTTCTTGGCAACAAGGGCACACTGCTGACTCATATCCAGCTTCTCGTCCACTGTCACCCCTAGGTCCTTTTCCGCAGAACTGCTGCCTAGCCATTCGGTCCCTAGTCTGTAGCAGTGCATTGGATTCTTCCATCCTAAGTGCAGGACGCTGCACTTATCCTTATTGAACCTCATCAGATTTCTTTTGGCCCAATCCTCCAATTTGTCTAGGTCCTTCTGTATCCTATCCCTCCCCTCCAGCGTATCTACCACTCCTCCCAGTTTAGTATCATCCGCAAATTTGCTGAGAAGCTCTGTCATCTCCACAGTCTTGGGCAGTTGTCCTTGCTCTGAGCGAGTCTGACCCCTCTCTCACACTCTCATAAAGCAGGAGTAATTCCATTGCAGTCAGTGGAGTTAAACCAGTGTCAGATCAGAATCAGGCTCTTTATGCCATTTCTAGAACATCCTCTTTCTCTACTATCGAATCACGGAGGGACTCATTCTGGTCTCTTTTACTCTGGAGTTACACTGATGTGAGTCCAGTGACTTCAGAGGAGTTACTCTAGATTTGCACCAGTGACTGAGATCAGAATCTAACCCACTGATTCCTTATGGGTTTATCCTAATGGGCTGTATGATCTAAAGACATTTTCAGCACTCTCAGGGTATGTCTACAGTGCAGTTAGAGACTCGCAGCTGGCCCGTGCCCAGCTTTCTCAGGCTCGCAGGACTCAGGCTAAAAGGCAGTTTAAGCCCAAGTCAGCTGGCATGGGCCAGCCATGAGCATCTACTTGCAGTGTAGACTTACCCTGAGAGCCACACTCTACCTTTCTCCTGTTTAAATCAGCCAGAAAGCGTACTGGCCTTCAAATGTTACCAAACATTTTTGGCCTGAAAGAGTTATTTACAGAAGCCACCCCATGTATTATAACTTTCTCCCACTAAGTTCACCATTGATGTGCTGTATGTCGCTAATGATGTTTGTGTTTTTGAGACCCATGTTATAACTCATGCCAGATGTATCAAAGATTTAACTGGCAGATATTTTTTGCTTTTACCTCAAATTCAGAAGTAGATAAGTAGCAACAACAATCTAGGGCCAAATATGCCTTTGTGTCTGCATACCAAGCCCACTGAGATCAATGGGAGTAATGCACAGCCAAATGCAGAATTTGTCCCCTAGGTTCTACATGTACAGAGAAGAAGCAATACATGACTCTATAGTAAAATGGAACATATGTAAATAATAGCATACATCAGTATTTATAATAGGCCTGTTTTCTACAAGCAGAGAAGTAATTTAAAAAAAAGTTATAATAAAAACAGAAATTAGGGATTTATCACTAGAGCTATGTTTCTGCTTTTGAATGTTAACAAATAGGAATGCCATTTGGTAACATTGATACAAGATCTTCTTGTTATTCCTCTTATGAAGTCAATCCGGGACCCATTTATTTTACAAGCCAAATACTGAGGCTGTTAGGCAGTGTAGTAATTACTTTAAACAAGCCCAACGCAATTACTAATTACTCGGAGGACTGTGTAAGTGTACAATAGAAAGCAGCATAGCACCCTTAGGGTACTGGACCGGTAACTGAGCAGTTATCCAAATTCAGTTTATTTAAAATCTTTGCTTTGTTGGGGATTAAAGTCGCTAGTGTTCTGGGTTTTTTTAAAAAAAACCACTATATAAAACAATATAGAATCAAAGCTGCTGATAAAAAAAAGGTGGGGGGGAAATGAAACACTGAAAAGATAGATAAGTATCAATGAGATGCATGAGGTGAGATCCTGAAATCCTCTCTTACAAAACACCCATTGGTTTCAGTAAGGTCTGCCAGATTTGTGCCATAATTAACAAATTGGATTTCTTAGAATTCAGCGGGTTATAAATACATCTGTAACAGAATGCCTTTGTATTATGGCTTCAGAATCTCAGTTTTCACCACGATCATTTGAGGCCTATTGACATTTGCCCTTCTGCTTAAAAAGGGGCTTTGTGTATAGTGATTTGAATAAGTGCCTCAATCCCAGTTACTGTGCACAGATACATTTATATTTATCTATGCACTCAATGAATTAACTGTATATATTTAACCTATTTGCAGATTTTTGTACTGAGCCTACTTTCCCAGGGAGAGCTTATACTACCAGCAATAACCAGCATTGTTAGGACTTTTATATAGTAATTACTGTATTGTAATTTGTTGTTTGGATGCATATAGATTTTGTTACACTGTCAAAATGATTTGCACCCATATTTATTTGAAACAACTTGTTTGTTTATGGCTGTTGTATTTGGCATTTATATCAGGAAAAAAATAAAGCTACTTCCCCTTTTGGTTATTAATCAAGTATTTATATGTATCAGATGATTGAGAATGGCCAGTAATACACTACTGGGGTAAACACTGTAATTTATAATTCAGACAGTCAAGCACAAATTTACCATAGTCTGGAATAAACCTCTTTTTTTTTTTCATTCTTCTTGTGATTGTTTCCCAATATAAAATGATTAGTGCAAGGTTTGTTTGCTTTTTAATTTAAGAACTACGGTTTCATTCCTGGGCCACAAGTGGAATGGCCAATAAAGAATGGATGTTTCATATCTACTGTTACAGATTCAGAAGATCAGAAGTGCCTAGACAGAGGGATAGACAGAAGTACCACACACACTAGGGACCAATATATTTTTACCGCAATCACTAAAATAGTGACCGCAAAGGGGTAGTCTGAAAAATGACATCACAATGTCAGATCATTTGTGTTGGTCAGTGCAGCAACCTTCAATCCACTAAAAATATGACTTTTAGAGCAGTGATCCTTGAAGGAGGTACAGCACTGCAAGATGGCAGAAGTTATCAGTTCAGAGTGAGGAGATGGAAAACAGAGATACCCCATGTCAAGGTTCCTTCCCCACTCTGAACTCTAGGGTACAGATGTGGGGACCTGCATGAAAACCTCCTAAGCTTATTTTTACCAGCTTAGGTTAAAACTTCCCCAAGGTACAAACTATTTTCCTTTTTCCCTTGGACTTTATTGCTGCCACCACCAAGCATCTAACAGATATATAACTGGGAAAGAGCCTGCTTGGAAACGTCTTTCCCCCCAAAATCCTCCCCAAACCGTACACCCCCCTTTCCTGGGGAAGGCTTGATAAAAATCCTCACCAATTTGGATAGGTGAACACAGACCCAAACCCTTGGATCTTAAGAACAATGAAGAAACAATCAGGTTCTTAAAAGAAGAATTTTAATAGAAGAAAAAGTAAAAGAATCACCTTACAGGGTAATCAGATTCAAAACATAGAGAATCCCTCCAGGCAAAACCTTAAGTTACAAAAAGACCCAAAAACAAGAATATCCATTCCATTCAGCACAGCTATTTTCTCAGCCATTTAAACAAAACAGAATCTAACGCATATCTAGCTAGATTACTTACTACGTTCTAAGACTCCATTCCTGTTCTGTTCCCAGCAAAAGCATCACACAGCCAGACAGAGCCTTTGTTTCCCCCCCCCTCCAGCTTTGAAAGTATCTTGTCTCCTCATTGGTCATTTTGGTCAGGTGTCAGCGAGGTTATCCTGGCTTCTTAACCCTTTACAGGTGAAAGGGTTTTTCCTCTGGCCAGGAGAGATTTTAAAGGGGTTTACCCTTCCCTTTATATTTATGACACCCCACCTACACAATGACCTCTGAAATATGCTTGGGTTTAATTCCCCTCTTTTCCCGTGGCAGATTAAGAGAAATCTCAGTTTGGAAAGGGTCACATTGTGGATAAATATACAAACATTGCCAGATTCAGGCCCTTCGTAGGTTTGATTTGTTACCCAGCTTTGTGCTATCAGGGATTCCTGTATTTTACGAAGACACAGGCAGCAGTGGGCAGTTTTCACAAAACCATCACTCCATATCTGATGTCTCAGTCCTTGTCCTCCAAGGAAACCTGCACAACATACTCAAAAGATGAGCCTGGGAGCTTAAATTCATAACTTTTCTAGACACTGAAAATCATGGACTCAATAAAGACACTGGATTTATGGCTTATTACAACATGTGTAACCCCCTAATCCTTCTTTGTTCTATGACTGCAGAGGTGTTAGCTGCTCGCTAAACCTTGGTCTTTTGCAACACGTGTTAACTCTGTATGCTAAACAATCTGTTCTATCTTGTATTTAGCTGTGACACTCTGAATACCTTTCCCAGACCTCAAGAAGAGCTCTGTGTGAGCTCAAAAGCTTGTCTCTTTTACCAACAGAAGTTGGCCCGATAAAAGATATTACCTCACCTTCCTTTTCTATCTATACCTTTAGGCAGAAAAACTCTCTGGATTTAACCTCTACATCAGATACTTAAACTGGGAAAGCAGGTCTGCAATCACTTTTTAATTGATACTCTTCCTTTGGGGTTTGGATCTCTTGCTAATTACCCAGAGAGTTGATCCATCCAGGTAATCATCTTGAATTACCACTCCTAGATAAGTATCTGTTCTTTGATTCACATTGGTAGTGAATGGATGAGTTAAGAGATTTTTGAACCACACTTTTTGGTCCATTACATGAGTGAATGCATCAGGTTTTTTTTCTAGCTGTTTGATGATTGTCACTTGCACTTTAAAGGTACTGGATCTTAATACATAGAATCATAGGACTGGAAGGGACCTCAAGAGGTCATCTAATCCAGTCCCCTGCACTCCTGGCAAGACTAAGTATTATCTAGACCATCCCTGACAGGTGTTTGTCTAACCTGCTCTTAAAAATCTCCAATGATGGAGATTTCACAACCTCCCTAGGCAATTTATTCGAGTACTTAACCACCCTGACAGAAAGTTTTTCCTAAACCACCCTTGCTGCAGTTTAAGCCCATTGCTTCTTGTCCTATCCTCAGAGGTTAAGAAGAACAATTTTTCTCCCTCCTCCTTGTAGGGAACCTTTTATGTATTTGAAAATTGTTATCATGTCCCCTCTCAGTCTTCTCTTTTCCAGACTAAACAAACCCAATTTTTTCAATCTTCCCTCATAGGTCATGTTTTCTAGACCTTTAATCATTTTTGTTGCTCTTCTCTGGACTTTCTCCAGTTTGTCCACATCTTTCCTGAAATGTAGCGCCCAGAACTGGACACAATACTGAAGTTGAAGCCTAATCAGTGCGGAATACAGCTGAAGAATTACTTCTCGTGTCTTGCTTACAACACTCCTGCTAATACATCCCAGAATGATGGTCGCTTTTTTTTGCACTATTGTTACACTGTTGACTCATATTTAGCTTGTGATCTATTACGAACCCCAGATCCATTTCTGCAGTACTCCTTCCCAGGCAGCGATTTCTCATTTTGTATGTGTGCAACTGATTGTTCCTTCCTAAGTAGAGTACTTTGCATTTGTCCTTATTGAATTTCATCCTATTTAGTCAGAGCATTTCTCCAGTTTGTCCAGATCATTTTGAATTTTAATCCTATCCTCCAAAGCACTTGCAACCCCTCCCAGCTTGGTATTGTCCACAAACTTTATAAATGTACTCTCTATACTATTATCTAAATCACTGATGAAGATATTGAATAGAACTGAACTGATCCCTGTGGGACCCAACTCGTTATGCCCTTCCAGCATGACTGTGAACCACTGAAGACTAGTCTCTGGGAATGGTTATCCAACCAGTTTTGCACCCACCTTATAGTAGCTCCATCTAGGTTGCATTTCTCTAGTTTGTTTATGAGAAGGTCATACGAGACAGTATCAAAAACCTTACTAAAGTCAAGATATACCACGTCTACCATTTCCCTCCTATACACAAGGCTTGTTACCCTGTCAAAGAAAGCTATCAGGTTGGTTTGACACGAAGTATTCTTGACAAATCCAAGCTGACTGTTACTTATCATCTTATCTTCTAGATGTTTGCAAATTGCTTAATTATTTGCCCCATTATCTTACCGGGTACAGAAGTTAAACTGACTGGTCTGTAATTCCCCAGGTTGTCCTTATTCACCTTTTTATAGATTGACACTAGACTTGCCCTTTTCCAGTCTTCTGGAATCTCTCCCATCTTCCATGACTTCTTAAAGATAATCACTAATGGCGCAGATATCATCTCAGTCAGCTCCTTGAGTATTCTAGGATGCATTTCATCACCCCCTGGTGATGAAGACATCTAACTTGTCTATGTAATTTTTAACTTGTTTTTTTCCTATTTTAGCCTCTGGTCCTTCCTCATTTTCACTGACATTCACTATGGTTAGATGTCCAATCACCACATTGGTTGGTGAAAACTGAAGCAAAGAAGTCATTAAGCACCTCTGTCATTTTCACATTTTCTGCTGTTATTTTTCCCCCTTCTTTGAGTAATGGGCCTACTCTGTCCTTGATTTTCCTCTTGCTTCTACTGTATTTGTAGAATGTTTTCATGTTACCCTTTGTCTCTAGCTAGTTGGATCTCGTTTTGTGCCTTGGCCTTTCTGATTTTGTCCCTACATACTTGTGTTATTTGTTTATATTCAGCCTTTGTAATTTGACCTAGTTTCCGCTTTTTGTAGGACTCTTTTTTTTTTTTTTTTAAGATCTCTGAAGCTCTCCTGATTAAGCCAGGGTGGTCTCTTGCCATACTACCTATCTTTCCTATGCAGTGAGGTAGTTTGCTCTGGTGCCCTTAATAATGTCTCTTTGAAAAACTGCAAACTGTCTTCAATTGTTTTTCTCTTTGGACTTTCTTCCCATGGGATCTTACCTACCAACTCCCTGAGTTTGCTAAAGTCTGCCTTCTTGAAATCCATTGTCTTTATTTTGCTGTTCTTCCTCCTACCATTCCTTAGAATCATGAACTATCATTTCATGATCACTTTCACTCAAGCTGCCTTCCACTTTCAAAGTCTCAACCAGTTTCTCCCTAGTTTTCAAAATCAAATCTAGAACAGTCTGTCCTGTAGTTGCTTTCTCTACCTTCTAAAATAAAAAATTGTCTCCAATACATTCCAAGAACTTGTTGGATAATCTGTGCCTTGCTGTGTTATTTTCCCGCAAGATGTCTGAGTAGTTGAAGTCACCACCAAGTCCTATGTTTTGGATTATTTTGTTAGTTTAAAAAAAGCCTCTTCCACCTTATCTTCCTGGTTAGGTGGTCTGTAGTAGACCCCTACCATGACATCACCCTTGTTTTTTACCCCTTTTATCATTACCCAGAGACTTTTGACAAGTCTGTCTCCTATTTCCATCTCAATCTCAGTCCAAGTGTACACATTTTAATATATAAAGCAACACCTCCTCCCTTTTTTCCCTGCCTGTCCTTCCTGAGCAAGCTGTACCCTTCTATACAAATTTTCCAGTCATGCATATTATACCACCAAGTGTCTGTGATGCCAACTATGTCATAGTTGTGTTTATTTACTAGCATTTTGAGTTCTTCCTGCTTATTCCCTATACTTCTTGCATTAGTATACAGACATCTGATACTGATTTGATTTCCACATCTCCACTTCCCCCCACCCCGTTCT